ACCGGGAAGGTCAGGAAACCCAGGAGCACCCGGATCACCTGGACAGCCTGGAAAGTCTCAACAAGCACCTTGTCAACAAGTCACAACTGTGAGTTGAAAAAAGTCATTGAAGTCTAATGGTAATTAAATAATATTTTCAGCCACCATGCAAACCTTGCCCAGGAGGCCAACCAGGCCAGCCAGGACCCCCCGGACCACCTGGCCAGCCGGGAGGCCCAGGACAACCTGGACAACCAGGAGGACAAGCCTCTCCCGGAGAACCTGGACCCGCAGGACCCCCTGGATCGCCTGGAGCACCAGGTAATATCTTTATAACATTCATGAGGAACTGAACAAACAATACAAAAAATAAAGGTCAACCTGGCGGCCCTGGACAACCTGGAGCACCTGCACAGTCTCAAGAAGCTGGACCTGCACCTCCTGGTCCACCAGGTAAATACATTTTACATGTTTGAGTTTTTTCCATATACGACAAATTATTTTTGTATTATTGAGAAAATAATAACTGTAAATAATTTTAAAATGTATTTATAGGAGACGCTGGAGCACCTGGACAACCTGGAAATCCAGGTCCAGCTGGACAACCTGGAGGTCCTGGAGGACCTGGACCAAAAGGACCACCAGGCCCACCCGGCCAACCTGGAAATGACGGAGCTCCTGGTCAGCCTGGAACACCTGGATCACCCGGAGGGGCAGGAGAGAAGGGTATCTGCCCCAAATATTGCGCCATCGACGGTGGAGTCTTCTTTGAAGATGGAACTCGAAGACGTTAAATGTAGACAGAAGTTTAAACTAATAGTGCATTTAGAATTTATCTGGCGATGGAGGAATATCTTTATTTCTGGACTTTTACATTTAATTATTTTTATTATCGTAAACATAACTGCCATTTTCTTAACCCAAAAATAAATCTGCCCTTCCTTCTTGTATTTTGATATTTTCGGTTTCTAAAGGATTTCGCTAGTTATGTACTATTTTCCAATGGGTAAATTTAACATTTTTTCGATGAATTTCGGATAGTTTTGATTTGAATAAAAATATTTTAGCTTGTTAATTTAATTGTTTAAAGGAAAAAATACATATAAAACAGCAAAAGAAAAAAAACTATAAGAAAACTATACATAAAAAACTAGAAGAAATGATTTAATAAATTCCTGTAAAAATAAATAGCTGATTATGGAGTATTACTTAACCCTGTATTTAACTATGTACTACTCCATATGTATGTTTTGAGAAAAATAATTAGGAACTATATTAATTGTAAATTCAATGGACGATCCCAATTAAAACATCAGAAATTAATTATAACGTAAAAGTTATTTGATAATTAGGTAAATCACCCTTCGGAAATGTTTTGCTACAAACCTGTATTAAACTACTGAGTAGTTAATATGCCGAAAAAACTAGACATCTATCTCTCACCTTTTTAGTTAGTATTTCAACTGATTTATTGCCCTGTATTGTACTATGATTTTATATAAAATTTGGGTGTGACCACTTCTTTTGAATAATTGTTGGATTAATTTAATAAAAGTAAATTTAATACGTATGTATGAATAAAAGCTGTGATAATTAAAAATGAGATTTAAATCATTTTTCTATCTTTATAACGAAGTGTTAAATAATTTTTTTTCAGTTTTTATACGAGTACAAATATGCATATTTCTGAAATTCAAAGAAATAAAAATTAATTTTAAAAAAGTGGAATAACTCTAGTGTTGAAAAAAATTCTTAAATTTTATTTTAAATTTTGTTTGCGAAGTTATAATGATTGAAGAGGCCTAAACGAAAAGCTAGAGGTAATAAATGAAAAAATAGAATTTTACATGAGGGGAAAAAATATACATGAGGGAAAAACGAGCGAAAAATGAACATCTATTCTTATTTTTTTCATTTTTGGTTTTTTATTCTCTTTGTTTCGTCTCAAAATATTTGCTACTACTCCTGTTTTTCTTCTCCAAAATATTTTTAAAGCCAAATTTTAACGAAAAGGCCCATTTTTAATACATATTATTGCACACTGAACGATTCATAAAGAAATTTATAAAAAAATTGAAGGAGCATGAGAAAAGAACCACCCATTCCATAAAACTGGAATTGAGGCCGCAAAAATTACTACTGTTACATCTACGGAAATGAACAGCAAAAGCAGTAATAAGTTATAACAGCTTAAATCGTTTTCTTTTTAATTCTTTTTATTTCTTTTTATTGTCGGTTTCGTCGTTTATGTCCCAAACTACCTATGTGCTCCCCACTTTACGTCTACATTCTTCATTTAGAAGCGCCGTTATGCACTAAACACTCTTCGCTATATTATTCCAATTTTTTGTTTGTTACACCTCACCATTCTAAACTTATTTTTTTATTCATCGATAAACAGCGATAATTTTCGCTATAAATGGACGTTTAGGCCCAACCCTGATGCGCAAGTCCCGTTATAAATTTGCTCATTGACCCAGCATTCCGTCCCATTTGATTAAGCGTTCCACCTTTTGGAACCAAAACCTCTATCATTTACCCTTGCTTTTATTATAATTAAAGTTGGGGTTATTTAATATCGAAAACATTCATAGGCAATTATCATTTTAATATTTTCCAAAATTTTATACTATCACCAATCTATTTTATAGATAATTGATAATTACCATAAGTTTGTAGAAATTACGATTAAACCTTATGCTTGAACATAGTATATTAATTTATTACGATAACAATTTAAGATTAAGAGATAAATATTTAAGAATATAGGTTTCTCTTGAAGAGTTCTTATTTCGCTAGGAATCATTTATTTATAAATTAAATTTACAGGCAAAGCCAATAAAAATGGACTACGAATCAAGAATTAAAGCTTACCGATTCGTGGCCTATTCCACGGTGTCTTTCTCAGTTATTTCTCTAGTCTCTGTATGTTTTACATTGCCAATGCTTCAAAGCTATGTATCAAATGTGGCCTCAAATATGGATAGAGAATTGAATTTGTGTCAGGTAGGATTAATTAAATTTAGAAAAATTCAAATAAATTCCAAAAATGTAGGGCACAGCAAAGGACATTTGGTCAGAAGTTAACCAACTCAAAAGTATTCCTGCTAGCGGCAATCGTACAGCACGTCAAGCTGGTTATGGTGGTGGTGAAGCACCAGTGACTGGAGGATCTGCTTCTTCTGGCGGCGGCCAATGCAGCGATTGTTGTTCTGGAGGAGGACCAGGCCCAGCAGGTCCCCCCGGTCCACCGGGAAGGTCAGGAAACCCAGGAGCACCCGGATCACCTGGACAGCCTGGAAAGTCTCAACAAGCACCTTGCCAACAAGTCACAACTGTGAGTTGAAAAAACCCATTGAAGTCTAATAATTAAATAATATTTCCAGCCACCATGCAAACCTTGCCCAGGAGGCCAACCAGGCCAGCCAGGACCCCCCGGACCACCTGGCCAGCCGGGAGGCCCAGGACAACCTGGACAACCAGGAGGACAAGCCTCTCCCGGAGAACCTGGACCCGCAGGACCCCCTGGATCGCCTGGAGCACCAGGTAATATCTTTTTAATATTTATGAGATAAATGAACAATTCAAAAAATAAAGGTCAACCTGGCGGCCCTGGACAACCTGGAGCACCTGCACAATCTCAAGAAGCTGGACCCGCACCTCCTGGTCCACCAGGTAAATACATTTTACATGTTTATGAGTTTTTTCCATATATGACAAATTATTTTTGTATTATTGAAAAAATAATAAATGTAAATAATTTTAAAATGTATTTATAGGAGACGCTGGAGCACCTGGACAACCTGGAAATCCAGGTCCAGCTGGACAACCTGGAGGTCCTGGAGGACCTGGACCGAAAGGACCACCAGGCCCACCCGGCCAACCTGGAAACGATGGATCTCCTGGCCAGCCTGGACAGCCAGGACCAAACGGTGGAAGTGGAGAGAAAGGAATCTGCCCCAAATATTGCGCAATCGACGGTGGAGTCTTCTTCGAGGATGGAACTCGACGACGTTAAACATATTCCGGCTAGAGGAATTTATCAGAAATGTTGCCACTTTCATCTACGTCAAAAACATAGTTTTTAACAAACTGATAATTTAAAAAACATACTGCCATTTCTATGATTTTAATATATCATTTATATATTGTTCATGCCATGCTTTTTATATTTTAATATCTAAAGCATAATGAGAAATATTTAATAAATACATACATAGTACACAAACTTGGAATTGATAAAAACCTAAAGAATAATGAAATAAAAGATAAATAAGTAAACTAAAAAATAATAACATAATTTAATTAATCCCTTTTAGGTAAAGCAAAATATTATTCTTAAATTACAAATTTGGAATTAAACTTGAACTTTTAATTTCAAAAAATAAGCTTGAAATTCAAATCGTTTCGACAAAGTAAAATACAAATTATTGTTTTAAATATTCTATTATACATAATTTCTCCATACATCTAACTACATATATTTTATATTTTTAAATTTTATATTTCCATAGCAACTTGTTATTCTGCAAATCCCACAGACTAGTAGCTTTCTAAGCGCAATAAGCTGCAAACTAAATCTATTTATAATACCTAATGTTTAATAAAAATTCTGAATCATTTTGATCTGTCTTAAATATTCTTAAGCCTTTTAATTTTTTCGTCAATAAACAAATTTGTCAGTTAGTTAAAAAACTCATGTAACATCAGCACTCTCGAAATGCCTAACACACTCACTTCTATTTGTGGCAAATCAATACTTTCATTTGGCAATTTTGGAAGGATTTTACTTTTGAATAGAAATAAATTCTTTCATTATTAACCAAAACACTTGACCGATTTTTAGAGGCAATAATTTCTCATATTTGGCAATATTTCTCACATTTTTACCTAATTAGCATTTTATTCATTTAAATCTTTAACATATTCATTCTCAGAGTGCAACAATTAACAGAAAAAAGACAAAAACAAAAAAATTTAGACATACTTCCAATTTTCAGAAATTTTAAACAATCTTTTAAATGCGCGAGATTGTTCACATACAGGCAGGTCAATGCGGGAATCAAATCGGTGCAAAATTTTGGGAAGTAATATCTGATGAGCATGGTATTGATCCTACTGGGTATCAATCTTTTTAATATATGTACAAACATTTTAACGGATTCTTAATGATTTAGAATGTATAATGGTGATTCTGATTTACAATTAGAAAGAATTAATGTCTATTACAATGAGGCCAGCGGTAATCAAAAATAAATTCACAATGACTTAATTATGACTTAATTATTAGGTGGGAAACATGTACCTAGGGCTGTTTTGGTTGATTTAGAAGTAAGATATATGTATATAATTTTTAAATATCTATTATATGAAAAATAATAATATAACAAAAAAGAAAAACAAAAAATATAAAGCCAGATAAAACAGTAAACTCTAGAGAAAATTTTAGCCTGGAACGATGGATTCAGTAAGAGCAGGACCGATTGGGCAACTATTTCGTCCTGATAATTTTGTATTTGGTAAATAATTAATGCAATTATACCAATAATTTATACAAAAAATTCAAAGGTCAAAGTGGTGCAGGAAATAACTGGGCTAAAGGACATTATACAGAAGGGGCTGAATTAGTTGATAATGTTTTGGATGTAGTTAGAAAAGAAGCAGAAAGTTGTGATTGTTTACAGGCATAAAAATTTACAAAAAACAGAATGAAGCATTGCATTATAGGGTTTTCAAATGACTCATTCCTTGGGTGGTGGAACTGGTTCTGGAATGGGGACATTGTTAATTAGTAAAATTAGAGAAGAATATCCTGATAGGATTATGGCTACTTGTATGTTGATAGAAAATTTTTAAATAACTAGTCAGAGAAGTTTCTTTATAGATTCTGTTGTTCCATCACCAAAAGTATCGGATACGGTAGTCGAGGTAAAAACATAATATTAAAACAGGTTGAACAAAAACATAATAGGTAAGCAAATTCTCACACATTTAAATTTTAACAGCCCTATAACGCAACATTATCCGTACACCAATTAGTTGAAAATACAGATGAGACATTTTGTATCGATAATGAAGCTCTTTATGATATATGCTTCAGAACTTTGAAACTTACAACTCCAACATATGGAGATCTTAACCATTTAGTGAGCATGACAATGTCTGGTATGTTTTTGCCATCTTTTAAATTTCAAAGCTTAAAAGGTGTAACAACTTGCCTACGTTTTCCGGGACAATTAAATGCGGATCTAAGAAAATTAGCAACAAAGTGAGATAAGATGTTGTTCAATTTTTCTATTTCTAAACTATAGCATGGTACCGTTTCCTAGACTTCATTTCTTTATGCCTGGATTTGCTCCACTGACGTCAAGAGGAAGTCAGAATTATAGGGCTTTGACTGTGCCAGAATTGACACAACAAATGTTTGATGCTAAGGTAGAGATAATAAAATATGTATTTACCTCCAAAAATCATTTTTATATAGAATATGATGGCAGCTTGTGATCCACGTCACGGGTATATATACTACTTTAGTAAAAATATAACTGGTGTTTCGTAAAGAATTAGAAAATTCGTTAATAGATAAGAATTTTAAAAATATTTCAGAAGATATCTAACAGTCGCAGCAATATTTCGAGGTCGAATGAGTATGAAAGAAGTAGAGAAAATAATACTAATTCAAAAATATTTAAAAAATTGAAGGTTGATGAACAAATGTTAAATGTTCAAAACAAAAATTCTTCATATTTTGTTGAATGGATTCCTAATAATGTAAAGACTGCTGTTTGTGATATTCCTCCAAGAGGTGTTAAGATGGCTGCTACTTTTATTGGAAACTCTACTGCTATTCAGGAATTGTTTAAGCGAATATCTGAACAATTTACTTGTAAGTATAAAATAAACTGATGTTTGAAAAAATCAGAACTATCGAAAAAACAAATAATATTTTTCATAGCTATGTTCAGACGCAAAGCTTTTCTTCATTGGTACACAGGCGAAGGAATGGATGAAATGGAATTTACTGAAGCTGAATCTAATATGAATGATTTAGTATAGCTATTTAACTTTGTTCTTATTTTTTAATGTTTTGTTAGGTTTCGGAATATCAGCAATACCAGGATGCCACTGCTGATGATGAAGGAGAATTTGAAGAACATGAAGAGCCGGAGCATGATATTGAATAGATTTAAAAAAATGCAATGTAATAAGATAGATAGAAAACCAAATTAAAAATAATTGCTGATAAAAACTTCGAAAGTTTACTACTAAAATTGGATTATAGTTTTTCTGGCGTGTTTTTAAAAAATGGCGGAAATTAATTTTTGTAAGATTGGCGTTTGATTTTTTAAGATGCGCGTTTTTTCAAATTCGTTGACGAAAAGTCCGCTGACGTAAGGTCCATTGACGAAACGTATTGACGGAAAGTCCATTGACGGAAATTCTATTGACGAAAAGTCTTGCCACCTAACTGCAAATTGAAATTCATAGCTGGAATTTGTATGCTATAATCAAATACATCAACTCAGATTCATGCCTATCAACTTTTATTGTACTGGCTCATCATACAAACAATGGTAAATATTTAAATTATTTGTGGATTTTTCACAGACTTTGTTAGACAGCTATTGTTAGTTTTAGGTTAAAATACTGATTCTCCTATTCATAGGCTTTCTCTACACATTCTGCCTTTTAATAAATTTTCATCAAGATTTTGACTTAATTTAATAAATTAGTAAATTGAAAAGTTAAATGTAAACAAACACAGTTGGTACTCTTTCACTACACAAGCTATGCATTCGATAATAAACGGATTAAGTGCTTTTTTAAATAATCCTTGACTTTCATTTACTACTTTGACATTATCATTTGTTTGTAGATTTCATTTTGTTTTCACTCTACATATTTACTTTCAAGAAAATTTTTGCCATGTTTAAAAATGAATTATTTAATTAGTTAATAGTTACGTAAAAATTAATCATTTTTCTCCATTATAATGTTAGTAAAATAATTTCTTTAATCATTCTATTTATTCTTTCAATCGCCACTAACACATTTCTTTTCCACCTACTTTCACTCTTTATTATTTTTCCTTTCCTTTTATGCTTGAATTTAATGTTCACTAGTTTAATTCATTAAAAAATCGAATGCGAAATAAATTCTGCTAGAAAGAAAGGGCATTTTAACAAATAAATACATAACATTTTTATTTGTTTTCCTTGCGTACTTGGAATGAAAAATATTTTTTAATTTAGAGAAATCAACGATCATTCACACCAATGGAGATAGAACCTGACAAACATCTGAAGTAATCATTTTTGCTGTTTTTTTAATTATTCATTGATTTTAGGGGGATGAAAGAGCTTTTGAGCACAATGGACCCGCAGGCAGATCCAAACACACACAAAGAATTCAAGGAAAAAACGCATGTAGTTTGTGCCAGGTTTTTGGGAGGTGCGTGGAAAACTGTTTCTCACGAAGACCTGAAAATCAACAGAGTCAAGTTTGTTTATATGACGTTTTAATTATTCCATCATTATAGGGGCGGCATGAGCAACATGCTTTTCTTGTGTCGATTAACTGAAAATCACCCGCCTATTAAAAACGAACCTGACAAAGTGCTATTGCGGGTTTATTTTAATCCCGAGACTGAGAGCCATTTGGTCGCAGAGTCTGTAATTTTCACGCTTTTTTCTGAGCGTCATCTTGGTCCAAAACTTTATGGAATTTTTAGTGGAGGTCGGCTCGAGGAATACATCCCGGTTTGATTTATATTTATTACTTAACTATTTATTTTCAAACTCTTACATCGATTGAAATTGTTAAAATTTTAAATCTTTGTGCTCATATTATTCGAGGAAAATAAATATTAATTTATATTTAGTCGAGACCACTTACATGCACTGAAATATCATATCCGAATATGGCAAATAAGATTTCTAAGCGACTTGCTAGAGTGCATCAGCTTGATGTGCCTATCTGGAAGGAGGTTATAAACTAATTTTTCTCTATTAATTTTTACTTTTAGCCGGACTATATTTGTGACGCGTTGGACAGGTGGTTAAATCAGTTGAGACTAACACCCAGTGGATCATCTGATTTTATCATGCCGCAAAAATATTTGGAATGGGCTCCGGAAAAGATTAGCTGTGATGACTTGTTGCACGAAATCGAGAATTTACGGTTTTTTTGTTAAAAATGTGAAATGTATTATTCTACGAGTTTTTTAGTTCTCTGATTGTACATAGTCAAAGTCTTGTGACATTTTGTCATAATGATTTACAAGAAGGGAATATTCTTCTGCCAAAAGGAAGTTCTGGCAATATAAGATTGCAGTCATCTACTGAAGTATATGGAGATGGTGGACAAAGTAATTCTCTAAGTGCTTTCAATCCTATGGATTTGCGTCTTGTCCTTATAGATTTTGAGTATGCCAGTTACAATTACAGGTCGGGAAATGTCTATTTATTTGGAAGATGTCAAAGCTTTAATTCAGAGGTTTTGACTTTGCGAATCACTTTGTTGAATATAGTATCAATTATGATGTAGATCATGCACCATTTTATGAGATTCTTCCTGAAAGATTTCCTACCGAAGAACAAATGCTCGAGTTTATGTATAGTTATGAGCGCGAGGCGAATCCTAAGGTTTCGGAAGAACAATTACATGAAAGAGGGAAAAAGATGATAAAGGTAAATATACTTATAACTTTATGTAATCTAGTCTAAATATTTTATTTTAGGAAACAGTTCCGTTTGTACCAGTTTCGCATTTGCTTTGGGGAGTTTGGGGGCTACTCCAAATGGAAGTCTCTCCAGTCGGATTCGGGTTTTCGGTATTTTTCAAGTCATTATAGAATCTAGTTTTTCATTCATAGGAATATGGTCGTGACAGATTGGGTTATTATTATATGAATAAGCATTTATTGGATAAATTTTTGGACAAAATCTACTAGTTTTTTTAAATGAATAGAGAATTATAGTGAAGATAGAAACTCCCATAATCAGAACAACTAAAGACATGTACTATTTGCATTTTTCTTATCAGATTATATTTCAACTAAATTTTTAATGCGAATTTATATATTTATATTCACAGAGATAAGAAAATTTTTGCATAAATATTTAAATTGTACAAACTTACATACTATTTTGCAATTTTATGTTTTGAACATTCAATATTTTCGGCGAAAGAATTATGACAATATGGATTAGAACGTATAAACTGTTTTTACGGCTAATAATTGATCCCATTTTATTTTAACTACTTGTCCTTGACATCTCTTCATTTAGCAAGGAAGAATCTGCCCATATTTATGTTAATACATACATATGGACAGATAATATCTATGGCTAGGAATATTTTTTATTCTCAACTGTTCATACATAAATAGATTTAGGTGCTTAAGGAATTTTATTTGTGTAAGCTCTTAATTTTTTCTTTTTTTTATTAAGAAGATTATGTCTAGGAGAAGATTTTAATTGAGAATTTTGGCTTTTATTTGCTAAGTTTTTTCTGTTGTCCAAATACTTAAGTATCCTTATGTTTTAATAGTATTCAGGTTTTTGTGATACTTTTGAAATCTTGAAAATAAGTTAGTTTTATCAATGGTAAAATCTTACCCAGCAAATAAAAATGAGTCCATTTCCGTTATCTATTTTATTAAAATTTAGATTTACATAACTACTATTCCACTTGTCATTTATGGAAAACGAAGTCAATCGTCGAGAGCAAAATAGTAGCTCCTTAAACGACAGTGAATTTCCAACTGCTACGGATCCACTCCTTAAACAACCAAATAACTCATGTTTGTTTTTAACACTTTTTTATCATTAATTTGCTTTAATTAGCTGATCAAAACGCTACAGACGGAACTTTGGCACATTCTGGTCCAATACAGATGAACGGTGGTCATGCAATTCAATCTGATCGTCTTAATATTGTTTACATGATTTTTTTACTTCATGGAGTTGGTGTCCTTCTGCCATGGAATACATTTTTGACAATCGGATATGATGTAAGATTATTACTTAGATTAGACCAAAAAAATCTTATTTCAGTATTTTGTAAGCTACAAATTAAATGGAACTGATCAAAACACAGAATATCGTCTAAATTTCTTCAGTTATCTAACGGCCGCTGCTCAAATTCCAAATTTAACTCTTAGTTTATTAAATTTATTTGTGGTTATCAAAGGAGGCTTGCACAGGCGCATTTATTTATCTCTTTTAGTGATTGCATCAATTTGCATCCTGACAATATCTTTTGTTTTTGTTGACTCTTATGGATGTTTGTTTTTATTTGAATTTATTTTTTAATATCTTTCTATTTTAAGGGCCATTTTATTTTTTTATTTTTACAATTGCTTCTGTTGTGATTCTCAACAGCGCAAATGGAATTTATCAAAACAGTATTTGGGGTTTAGTAGCTGATTTTCCTGGCCAGTATACTAATGCTGTTATTCTTGGAAATAACATATGCGGCATTTTGATGGCTTTCATTTACATTATTATTCTTCTTTGTGAGTTTATAAAGACAATAATCTAACTTTAAATCATATTTTAAGCTCGAATTGGAATTCGTTTAAGTGCTTCAATTTACTTTGGTCTTGCATTATTGACTGTCATTGCCTGTGGTTTCTCCTTTCGCCTTCTTACAAAAAATGTTCAAATATTTTTTAAATCTATTTTTTTATGATTTTTAGAAATTCTACAAATTTCACGTAAGAAAAGCTGTAAAATCTAGAGCAACTTCCTGCACAGATGTTTTACACGAAGGAGAAGATATTTGTGGAAATAACTCTGAAAGAAAGCCATCCACTCCTAATCCTTCTTTAGCGACTTACTATGCCATTTTCAAAGAGGTTTTTTTAATTTATTAATTTAATCTGAAAATTTTAAGTCTTGGCGCGGCCTATTTAATGTTTGGATAATTTTCTTTACAACTTTGGCTATCTTCCCTTCAGTTTTGCTTAAAATTGAATTATATCCTCCTGGTCGAACTTTTGATATTTTTATTTATGGCGATTGGACAACTTCAAGTTTGTTTGGCTTAAATATATTTCAATTTATTTATTTAACTTAAAGGAATGCTTTTTCGCCAATTAACCGTTTTCTTGAACTTTAATCTTTTTGCTACAATCGGCAGTTGGATTGCTAGTTATATTCAATGGGTACGATTTTCATATATTTTTCTATTTATAATAGGTATTTTATAGCCTTCAACAAAATCCTTAACTATTCCCGTTGTTGCTCGTCTTGCTTTCATCCCTCTCTTTTTGGCATGTAACTACCAAACCGGCACTGAACCCAGAAATTTTGTACTTATTAAAGATGAATGGTCATTTGTCATTCTAATAACTTTCATGTCAATTACGCATGGTTATTGGAGTTCTTTAGCTATGATGTATGCACCACGGTATATACTTATTTTTAAATCAACTTTTACAATTGGTTTTTCGCAGGCAAGTTGATCAATCAAAATCGCAAATTGTTGGAATGATGTCAGGATTCTTTCTTGTCTTTGGTATTGCTTCTGGCATAGCTTTTACTTTTGTTGAGCCTCATATTGTTGATCTATTTGGTTTGCTTTATCCTTCTTGAAGAAGCAAGTAAAGAGCTTTTTTTATTTTATTATCAGTTGCAATCGAAACACAATTGTGCCATTTTAAGTAATTTTTGTTTTCATTATCTTTTATTATCTAACTTCCCCTGTTCTAACTCTTGTATTTTTGATCATTTATTTTTCAACGAATGTTATTAAATCAGTGATGCTTTAGTAAAGTCTTAACTATTTTAACAATCACGAATTGTGTACCTTTCCTTTTTATTAATCCTTTTCTTGTTTTATCTGTTTAACCTATTTATCTAACTGCTTTACATTTTTACCTTAAAATGTTACTTTAAATTTAATTATATAAAATCTTTTTGTTGGTATAAATTCACAAAAGTTATTTTAATAAGTTTGAGCCTTATATTTAAAAGGTAAATTTTATGACAAAAATTATGATTAAAATGTTTAGAACATTTAATCTATTCAGAAATAAGAATAGAACACATTTTTATTTAACATAGATAAGAAAGTATTAGGGAGGAATGATGAATAAAAAGTATGTGGTGGAATTCCAACGCTATTCTCTCTATTTTTTCCCCGTGTCCATAAAATTTGTTTGGTATGAAAACTACCAAATTGTTTGTCAAATGATGACTGTTTCATTATATAGCTTATCATTTCTAGAGATCTAGTATAAACGATCTAATTGTAAGAAATTTAAAAATTCCTTCTCCTTTTTACGCGTTTTTCCATTCACGTCTCTGGTGCATTATTAAACATTTTAGTGAACCTTTAGCCATACTTTTATGCTAAATTTAGTCGAAAATGGCACGAATTGAACTTTTTGCTCATAAATCCAAACGAGTAAATACTATCTTGAATCAGCTTAGCTCGGATTTCCAACCAGGTTTGATCTCTAATTCTAATGATTACTTGCTCCTTTATTTATCAGCTGTTAAAAATGTCGCTCAAGCTGGACAAAATCTTCTACGTGCCCTTCAAAGTAACATTTAAGATTTCCAACAATAAATTTTCTTAAAGATTTTAACCGAAACCATTATCTGTACACGGCATCTCTCTATGCACTTGCGTTTTCTAGTTCTACGGCTGAACAAAATGCGCGTGAATGTACAAAGCAGCTTGAAAAAATAACAGAAGCAATGAAAACGATATATGCAAATCAAACCGAATGGGTAAGCAAATTATTAAAATTATTAGAAATAATTTGTAAAACATTAAAGATGGACCATTTCACCGAAATGACCAATACCATCACAGGAAACTGCGAGGATGAAAAACAAAGACTCAAGTCTTTAAGAGATGAATTCATCAAACGAGAAAAAAAATTAAATAAAGCTGTAAATAGCGGCAAGAAAATGCCATCTGAATTAGAAAATTTTTATGAATCAGAAATGACCATAGCACGACATCACCAGGTTAGTAAAGTAATTAACTGAAAATTATTCAAAATAGAGCCAGCGATATCGGTTTTTTGTTGAGAAGCATTTTAAACTTATGAAGCTGTATTACGCATGGATGAGATCATCAGCTTCCTTATTGGAAAAGGAATTCAACTTTGAGATGAATGGCTTTAGTAAAAGCGTTTCGCAAACATCAAAAGGCTCCGATAAGAATCTTGGCGAAAACATAAACTTCCAGCATCATTTAGAACCGAAGGAAAAGGTCTCTTAAATTCCATCTGGGCACAAGCTGTTCAGCATACAGTATGATGAACAACTATGCTGTTCAGCAGTTGCTATTCACAATCCAATATTAGTTTTTAAGATTTCGTCTGTCAAGGAACGAAATGGTCTACGACATCAGAGGGTAAATAGTCATACTCTTTTTCAAGAGGATAAACGTCTATCCGTACTTAATGAAAATGAAGCTGATGCTCATTCAGATCCCTCAACAATCCCACAGATTACAGGTCATCAAGGACTTTTTCGGCCAATTCCAGTTCTTCCCATGAACCAGCAAAAATTCCGTCATAGCTTGGTGGAAACATACTCAAACCATATAAACAATGATTTAATCTATTGGGAACGACAAAATGTTTCAGACGAAAATCAACCAAAACGTTTACAAGTTCAAGGAAAAACAAGAGAAGGATCTCAATTACAAAAATTCTACAGGTATAATTTAAATGGATTGACATGAAATATATTATTTTGAAGAGATGGACCATCGAGGAGCGAGGAATTAGACGTGTTGGAGCGTGAGACATACGGAAGACTCAATGAAAGACAGTTTTCACGTAAACCACATAACAGCCAAGTTACAGCATTATCTGATAAACGCAATGATCCTGGGAAATCAATGATTGTAGGAAATGGTGGAAACATTGCTCATAATCACTCACGTACCCAAAGTTCCGAAAGCATGACAAGTAGTACAATTGCAAGTAAGTTGGAATAACATTAAAATAGAATTTTAAAAAAATTTTTAGCTACCCCTATATTTTCCCCAACTGACTATAACAGGCTTCTTGAATGTACAACCCCTTATGAAGCACAGGGCGATAACAGAGATACACAATTGAGCCTAGAACTTGGTGAACGAATTCTTCTAATGAAAAGTGGTACAAGAGGTTGGGTACTCGGTAGAAGCGAGGACGGTTCTAGGTATACGTTCTTTTACATCTGTGACATTTTGTATATTTAAGACAAGGCTGGTTTCCTGCAAAATATTTAAAACTTGTCTGATACATAGAATGGAAATTTTTAAAGCAGAACGATTAATAAACGAATATATATTAACATGTATGTATTGTTTCCCTTTAAGAATATGAGTAAAGTTTTACAACACGTAAGATCTAAAAGCTGGTAGATTTTTAAAGACAATAGTTTTGCGTATTTTAGTTTATTAAATAGAATGTAATCAAAACCCAGGAGAGCTTTGCTCTTGGGGATTCGAAACAACCAATAGAAGATTACTTTGATATTTGGATGGCAGACTTGACTCCTTAATAAGCATTCCACATTTAGCTAATGTCCTATATATCTTACTTTTCATTCCTACATCATCATCATTCAACACCCTCTTTCTTGCTTTTTAGCTTTTTTATTAACATTTGCGACACTCCTCACTGTGTCAATAATGAACACGACATTAGTCTAGACAGAATACATACATATTATAAATTTTTGATGTTATATGTCCGAATATTTTTTTATTCGCGCATTTTAATCACTTGCGGTAATGTTAAAAAACACCTGGGATGCGTGGCAGCGAGGTCATTTATCTACAAACAAATCTCAAATTCAGTCAAACTTGTAACCTTCCATTGTGCTTTGATGACAAAATTCATTATTAATTCTTCACAATAATAAAATGAATATGTATAGTTAAAATTTATAATGCCGGCCGGATATGTTTAACAGTCTCTTTAGTTTATTTATTCATTAATCCATCAGTTCATAATGTTATACTTAAGTATTCATTCTATTTAGAATGGATGAATTAATTAGATGCCATTGAAAATCATGCAGGTTGCACGTGAATAATAGTAAAGACAGATTATTTTGACCTTATAATTCTAGAATGACGACTTGGGCCGTATTTTTTTTTGTTTATCCTCTTCCTTTTTTGAAGGAATTAAAATGTAAAAAAGGAGGAAACGATTGGATAATAAGCCAAATTAAGAGCTAGCGAGTGGTAGCATGGACCAGGAAATGTGGCAGACTGCAACTATTGTGAACAATGAATGAGAAAGTTGTTTCCGGCAGACGACGCCTACGCTATTTCTGGCATCATAGGGTGGTCTTTATATTATTTTTACCTATTTTACAATTAATTTTCACTTGAGGAACGCCCAGCATCCTTTTTCTACTTTATGTACAATAAATTTTTGCAAAATTCATCTTGTCAATCGTCCTTTTTGGCTTATCCTGTAACCAAATAAAAGCCATGTCCTGGTAAATATGGAGCTCATTTTAACAACGCTTTTCTCTTTTCTATAGGTCTAAAGTATTTAAGATTTCGTGACATAAGATTATTTAAAACCCATTACTTACTAGGGTCACTTCGATTAAAAAAAGCCAAATTGTCACTTATTATTCATTAGTTATATCTGTCATTTTATTAAAATTCTTGAAAAATACCCTTTCCACACTTTTAATAAATATATTAATTATGTTTTCCCTTTATACCCGATGTTTTCTAAGAGCTGCGCCATACTTCGCACAATTCCCAAACATCAAAATTATATCATTAACCCTTTCCACATTTACAGCTGTCACTAGATGCTTAATTTGGAATAAGACAACAAAAACATACATAATATTAGTATAACTCATTCATTTTACACTTTTCTGTTTACTTAATTAACATCCTAATCTAACAATCCCTCAACAAAATAGAATGTTTGGAGAATATTTAATTATTTTACGCGTTATGGCATCTACAGTTTTCGCTTTTTGTCTTTTTAATACAATGGCCCAAGCACAAGCAGATTCCACACTGGTCAGTTTATTATAATGCACTTACTTAAATAAAATATTTATTATCATAGGAAGCGGACCTTTTTCTACGCAATATGCTTCTTAGACAGTATTTAGATAGTCAGATTTTTGGAGCAAAAGCGGGTCTTAACCTTGGTCTGACAGAAGTGGAAAGTAGAAATGAAGTATCTAAACGATCTGTGCCACGTATTTCATTTGAATCTGATTTTTCTTTTGATAATAACGGTTTCTGGCGTCAACGTAGAGCACCAGCAGATTTGAGATTTTCAAAAAGGCTAATACGTCTCTCTGATCAGTATACGCCAACGCCTTGTAGGTAAGAACATTATAATTACACCATCAACAACATGTAAATTTATTATTTAGATGGAAACTTTGTGCAAGTCTTTTCAAAAGGAGCATCTTTTAATTCGAGAAGAAAATTTTAAGAAAACGGGGATTCAATAAGAACATATTATATATTTTTAAAGTTAACCCTTTAACACTATTTTCTGTAAAATATTATATTTTCCCGTGTTTAAAGTTTACATTCATTATGTTTTTCAAGATCGTTCAGTTTCATTGAACATTGAGCTTTGGGTTATGTTTCATTTTTATTCTTACTGATTCGTTAGTATTCACGTATTTCTGTTTCATACTTGTTGGACGACAGCGGAGCATCGGTTAATAATTCAAAAGCATCAATATGAATTCTTTGTTTAATATCTTTGTCTTCCATCGAAGGCGAATAGTGGATCTTATCCTCAATTCTTCCTCTTATTAATGAGGTTTCATCTAATGAAGTTTCATCAATATTTTCATCATTTCCTCTGTAAAAAGTAGATTAATTCTGATACATACTTAAGTATTTGTTTCAACCGACCTTCTATTTTCTTCGTGTTTCTGTTCTTCATCTAGTTTACTATCTTGAAACTTTGAAGTTATGGACATTTGTGCATTCACTTCAATCTGGTCTTTATTCTCTGTCGATGTCATTACTATTACTTTTTGACATGAACAATGCCAGGAATGCATAGATGACTCTGTCGGTGCTAATATTGAAGATTGATGTTGAAAGTTATTTTTGTTCATCTGCTCATATCGACGTTGCTGCGAAAACGCCAAAAGTGCCAATGACCCGAAAGCAAGCAGTATGGCAATGCAAAGAGATAGAAGCATTAACCTTGAAAATTTTTAAATGATTATTTATCTACTAAAAAGTCAACAAGGATTATAATCAGAATCAAAAATACCAACCATGCTGTCATTTGATTCACATTCATGTTCCATGTTTCTCCTATCCCATTCATTGTTTCTCCATCTACAGTTCCATTGTTTTCTTTCTCCAATATCTCAGCAACTAATTCTGCTAGTGTTGTGCCTTCAGTGGAACTAGCAGCAGCACTAAAGTTCTGCCTCAAGCGGCTTTCTGTGATTACTGTTTGTTCCTTTACGGGGGTAATTATGTTCAGTTTATTTACTCATAATAAAAATACTTTAAAAGGATCGCTCATTTGGCGACCAATTTCATCAACAATTTTGTTAAGCCCAGCCATAAAGTTTTTGGCATTGAAGAGTTTATATTCATGAAATACTCTTTGCATAAGGTCGGCCGGTAAACGCAAATCCTTCCCTGTCTAATTTTATTTTTAAAAATATTTAATAAAATAAATAACCCGAACATATGCCAATTTGGCAGCCTCAATTCCAATAAGAAACACAAAAGTTTGGCAAGGTAAATCATTTAACCCGTATTGTTTAGCCAAATCATCCCCAAATTTGGTCTAAAAATAGCTTTTATAAATTGATTTTGGGTTAGTTTTGACCAAATCATTTCCAGTAATGCTTTGATTGTTTGGTGTCCAAATCCTCTTTGCTAGCAAAACATAAACAAGAACACCTTCTGTACGGTTAATGCATTCAACAGGTGCTTTCTCGGATAAAGGAACATTTGCCTCGGTTAGTCCTTATAATTCAGAATATGTACTACATAATGTTTATTGTATTTCACATACTATCCATTTGTTTTTGAATATTCTGATTGATTTCGGCTCTCCATTGATCAGTTAAAATATGATCTGGATCACAAAGTGTGGAATTTTCCTTTGTATTACAAGCAGTATAATTTTTCCTTGGATTTGGGTAATTGAGAGGCGTCCACCGTTCTGTATCGGCACGAAGAACTGTTCCAGAGGCAAGTAAAAGTGATAATAAAGAAAGCATAAATATTGTACTTTTTTACATTTAGATTAAAAAGTAAAGCATAAAAATCTAATTAAAATATATAGAACTGAATTTCGGCCGATATTTTCTATATCTGGGGAAGTAGTAGATAAATAGGAAAATGGAAGGATAGAGAGCAAGATCGGATATAACGCTGGATGAAGAGTCCACAACTGCGCGGAGTTAAGTGCTGGCCTAAATCTAACTACTATAAAATAAATATTACAAGTAAATAAATAGATGGTCAGCGCAGATATAAAGAAATAATGTTAAGCTGCATCTCCTACATATCCATTAATTTTTATTTCCTATACATTCAATGTAGATACATGCTTATCTGATTATCCTTTTGTAAATTGGCTGTAATCAACAAACGGATAGACAATGAGCAGTAAAAAGAAAATAAAGCTTTCTTAAATGAAAGAATCGTAATTAAAAATTAATGACGACTTTATTATGCCAACCCCAAATTCAATGTGCAAGTAATTGACAGTCTTTTGGTTACTTTTTCTCTAAGTTGGACAGATTGATCCTTATCTTGTTTATGACCTTGAATATAAACTCTCCTTTTGTCAAAATTTTTTAACCTTATATTTTAATGCTTTGATATTTTTGAAAAAAGATTTTTGAATTTAATAATTACTTGAGTTCCCCAATATTGTCAATTGGGTACATTGACGAAATAACGGATAGCATAGTTAAAAAATTAGATTAATGTATTTAAATAATTTATTTTTATGTTACATACATACATATTTTAATAAACTTGAGGATTGGAGAAGTTGAAAATCCAAGGCAAAAAGTATAAAAATAAATAGCGCTAGGAAAAATAAATAGCGCAAAGAATTTTTTCTATTTTAGCGCTGTTTACATAAAGATATCACACAGAAAGGCATAAAGGAATCATTGATACGGTTACATAATTTCTAGACAGTATTAACAGAAACTGAAAATTCTGGTCCTGATTTAACTTAAAAAATTCGTTAATATTCAGAAATTATGCAATAATTACAACTTTAAACCCGTATTTTAGAATTAAATTTGTTACAGATTGTAACTTTTAATAACGGAAAAACCGGAATTCAAAGTGTTTTATGTCCTAAGTGATTGTGACGCCAAATGAGGAGATAATTGGCCAGAATTGTTCACAGATGAGTTGAAATCAGCTAACTTGAGTCGATAATAATTCTGTTAAAAATTAGTAAATTTAGAAGCAATATTTGAATTTTCGAATTTAGCAAGGAGGAAGACACTTAGAAATTTTAAATTCCAAAGATTAGAGACTTTCAATTAATGTAAGATTGAATAAATACATATTTGTATATTCTCACCTCTAATTCTTCATCAGCGTCCACAGCTTCAGCCTCAAGTAAAAGCAACGAATCATTGCATCCAAGAGTAGATCCAATTAATTCTCTTGTAGATGTTTTTACACCTTTTTGGCGTGCTGAATTTATACGTTCAATTTGCTCCTTTATCGACTCTTCTTGACGGTAACGTAGTTCTAGTGCTTGTAATTTTCTTTGTAGAAGTTCTGCAAAATTTCGTCTTTCTTCAGCGGTGTCATGACGAGGATGATTGCTTGAAATCGGTTTCACTATTTTTCGATTTCTACTAATGTCATCGGCCCCTTTCTGCAAGAAATTTTGAGTATTAAAAACAAAAAAAAATAAATCAAAGTAGACTACCATAACGGAATGATTCATTCGTCTTTGATCTTCTCGAAGTAGCTTCATAGAGTTAGATGTCTCACCAGAACCAACAGTTCGACCCGTTGACTCTGAAGAGAAGGCGGAAGACGCAGCAGAACCGTTTTTACTTGGTTGAGCTTGTCCACCAATATATGGTAGTTTGCTGACCGGGCGGAATAAACGTTGACTTAACAAATTAATTTAGTAACGTTCCAAAATTAATAGACAAACCTTGTTGTCCCGGCAGGGACCATTGCTTCTCGATCTCGTTGTGAACGCTTTAACATGTCAGCGGTTAATGTAGGAACGACATGCTCATGTTGTCCTTTACGAGATGATCGATTAGTCGAGGAAGATTTATGGGTAGTATTTGATGAACATGATGGTGCCTGATCATCCAAGCAAAGGGATGAGTTGAATTTATCAAGAAATTCATGTGAAGAAACTGTAGTATTTATAAATTTTTGAGATTTTTATAATTAGCTACCGAATATGGCATGTTGTCTTCGCAAAAAGGTATCTATTGATGGAAGGCACTCATCAAAGAGATTAGGAGGGCATATAGTTGATTGTCGAAGACATTGACCCACACGTTCACGAATTATTGGATCAATGAAGGCACATAGACCACTTTTGGGACGCAGAAATTTGTTATAAATCTCTCTGCATGGAAAATAAAATTGAATTATCAAAAAATAAATTTAAAAAATTTTAAATTAAATTAATGCGCTCATAACGAGCCTCAATTTTAATTAGAAATAACCAAAGATAGAAATCAGAATTTGAAAATTGTCCAACTTTCCCCGTGATTTGAAAATTAGTGTTAGTGTTATAATATCAAATTTTAGATATTTTATAACCTAGCAAGTTGCATCACACGCGGGTCGTTTCTGCTTAACATTGCACGATAAGCAATAATAGCATAATGAAGACGTACTACATATAAATTAAAAAAAGAATTATTATCCGGGTACACATAATTAAAAAATATTTACTAACATGGATGCTCACTGCTATCATCGTCAACTCCCATCCACGATTGAAAAAGCTAAAAAATTTAAGTTTAATGATAATAGTATCAGAATTTAAAAGCTTAAAAATCTAAAGCTCAATCTAGAGTCAACTAAAAAATCCGAGAAATTTACCTGAAGAGCATCAAAGTCTGATAGTACTTCTTCCAAACTTGAAGCCCATTTAAATCTACGTTGATCCATTTAAATAAAAATGATGAAGTGAATTAAATATGAGCAATTTAAATGTTGAATTGTAGGAATAAATTTAAAATAATAAATTCAAAACTAATCTGTAATGACTAACAAAAGATAAAAAGAAAATTAAATAAAAATTAATAATTTAAAAGTAAAGAATGAAAAAGTGGCATTTAAAGAGTTTGATTCATGCCTAATTTCTCGTATAAAGCATTTTTTGCTCTAATATAACGGGCCAAGTGTTTGGCCTAGCCTTGGTCTTTTTCTAGTTCTTACGAGATGAATGTTTATTGCTTGCCGGCAGCCACTAACTCTTCACAATAATTTTCAGTTTGCCATCATCCCACTCTTTTATTTCTGGTTAAGGATGTTACTGCCAACTGGCCATTGCAAGAAGCGGGTGAAGTCGAGCCAAAGAAATAAAAGACAAATGAAAATAAAATGGATGTAGGAAGGATGAAAAAAAGGCAAAAGGCAGACATGAAAGGGTAGGAAGAAGAAAGGAATGAACCGCTACGGGACAAAGGCGGCGACAACAGAAGAAAGAGTGCAGCGGCGATTATTATTGCCACCGCTGTCCTCGCTATGAAATTGCAAAAAGAAAATATGTACATGTATTAGCAGAAATGGAATTTATAGAATAATAGCTGAAGAACGAAATTTCGCATTAGAATAAAGGTGATTTTGCCTCAGATCAAAACATTTAAAGCCATATTTAATACTAATGGTTGCCAAATAGGATCCGCTCCCCGATTAGTTTGGTAATTCGTTCCCCGAATTAATTTAACTTAAGTTTATATGAGAATCGCTCAAATTGCATGATCTTAATTTACCTTTTTAATTAATTTTATCAAAAAGTTAAAAATGAACTATGAAATAAATGAGAGTGAAAATAAAAAGCCAGCCACTAGTATTTAAATTCCTATTTTTTAAATTAAAATTTTAAGTATTTGTTTGTTTGTTGTTGAGAGAAGAATAATGAGAAGTTTTAGGAGTAGTGCTCGCCGATTGTCGGCAAATAGGCAAAGCGCGACGGTGTCGGCGTAGATCAAAAGAAATAACAGCAAAGGAATTGACCGATTTTATGTGTAGTGGCGGCGAGAAAAAAAAGAAATAATGGGATGAGGGTTAATAATGAGCGGGTGGTGGTGTATGGGTGGGCACAGGCGGCGAATTTGACTTTGATCAATCCGCACATTCATTTCTTTTATCTTGTTCATTCCGCTCTTTGAATTCCTTTTCCTCAACATTCCACCTCCTCAGCTTCCCGCCTCTCGGTTTGTCATAATTTGGCGGCAAAAATAAGGGAAGTTCCTGAAAGGGAAGGCGCTTGAAAAGATTATTCTTTTAAAGGTGTTCCTTTGATCTGCCGTCTTTTGATAGCAGAAAACTGTGGATAGTATGCTGCATCATCTTTGTTAGGGTCGTCGTCACTTTGCTTTTAACCGAAAAATAAAGCAAATTTGCGAGGAAATTTTTGAACATAAGGCGGGAACATTAAAGGAAAGGAAGAATCGGAGAAAGAGATGAGTGAACTTCCTTTGACTGATTTGGCGGCTCAGTCGCCTATTAATGAGTCGGCTATGCTTTCAAAAATATTCGCTTGTCGGCACATTTGGACCCTTAAAAAGGGGACTGGACAATTAAATTAATGAGAAATAAAACAGAAATAAAAGTTGCAAATGGAGGCAGAGTTTTGAATTTGCGAAAATAATCTATTAAAATAAAATCAGATTCAAAAAAAGAGAAGGCTAAATTCTTCCCATTTTTATTTGGCAGTTTATACCAAACATTCGAGCAATTAATGATATTGGGGCAGGTCCCGGTCCGTTAGGTATGTAAATATATAAAAAAACTTCGCACAAAATTTAAAAAATAAAAGAAACTTAACTTACAATCAATCTTACGTATAGAATAATTTTATTTATTTAATCCAATTTAAATTTAAATGTAAAAAAATTAAATTTTTAAAAAGGAAAATAAGAGAATAAAGCATAAAAAAGAAATAAGAGAATAGAAACTTATTGTTTGAATAAATTTTAACGAAAATCAGTTAAGTCGACTAAACTTAGTTCAAATCGCTAAAAGTTTAATGTGTATTTATATAAAGTTAAATTAAGAATAAAAAATGATATTTTACATATTTAGTTAAATAAACAATTCTAAAAAACTCATCGGGATTCAATAAATGGTTGATGAGAGAAAAAAGAAAATAAATTGAAGGAATAATGGAAGAGAAATGTTTTCTGGAATAATTTAGTCATAGATTGAAATATTTGTGTTGGGAATGCATAAAATGTTAAAAATCGAAACTTGTCATTTTTAAATTCTAATATGTATAAACTGGGATTGATTTGAAAATTACAACTACCTAAGATTTATTTTTATTATCGTTAAAGGATGTCAAGCTTATGATAAACGTTCAGCCGCATCCAATAATTGACGAGGAGTTGGCCTTTTGACACTGTCGATTTGAAGCAAAGAGCAGATTAGTAGTCGAAAGGCAGGTTCCGTTTCAGGTGGTAATTCAGGGACCTCATATCCATCAAAATTGCCGCATGCGCAGTGCAAAAATAATCGACAAAGCGAAGCTTCATCGAAAGGCGTGAACCCACTCGAACATTGGAAAAACAAACAGCCAATACTCCACATGTCGGCTCGATGATCATATTCACTAACAGCAACTAGATTAGCACCAACCTGGAATAGACTCGTTTATAAAATTAATTTTCTCCTTTAAATATTTATTTGGCAATAACATCTGTTTATAAAAGAAAGTAATCAAATCACCTCAGGTGCCATAAAGAGAAGAGTGCCAGCTACATTGCAAAGTCCCATATTCTCATCGGCAAGTACTCTAGATACGCCAAAATCAGTAATTTTTGCATTATGAATTCGACGTTCATTCTTATCAGAAAATTTGTTGTAAAGAAGTAAAATATTTTGAGGCTTGATATCACTATAATTAATTAAAATTCATTTTATATGTATTATATTTAATTTCTCTACCGATGAACAATATGTTTTTCATACAGAGCAAAATATCCACGAGCAACACTCTCAACAACAACACTAAGTAATTATTGTCTTTCTAGGAATTTTCAAAATTAATTGTTTTTACCGAATATCCGCTGATTCCAAATGACCACAAGATGAATCTTTCAAATGCCTGTCCAAGTCAGTATCGCACAACTCCATAACCAAATAACTTATTGTGTCATTAACATCAAGACAAACATCCAAAAGCGAAACTAGGTTTTCATTATGAACACATTTCATTGCTTCCAACTCATCTGGGCGAACATTCATACGCCACATTCGTTTGACGGCAACAGGCTTACGGCGAGAAAGTTGAGTTCCTCGAAAGACGATCTGCAAAATTTTAATTTAACAATAAGTTAACCAAAAGAGATGCCTAATTTAATTAATGCTTACTCCATAACTGCCACGGCCAACTAAAGCTGAAGGTGTATCCCAAAACTGCAGAGTTAAAAAATACATTTATGCACTATTTATTTGGTTCTATACCTCATATTTCCCATTCCCAATACTAATACATTTGCCTGAATGCTCAATCGTTTCTTCATCCTCTTCTTTATTTATTGCCGTTGCGTCATTCTCGTTGTTCACTCCTGCTTTTGGAGGTGTTTTACCTGGTTTTAGTATAATTGTTGATGATGCACAAAATAATGGAGTTGGCACACTTCCTTGATGTGTTCCTCCATAATTGCCACTATTAGCAATTGCGCAGCGAGTAAGAGGCATTGAAAGTTTTGGCTTAATTGATGGGGTAGCTTCAGAATGACGCCGATCACATAGAAGGCCACCATTATGCATTTTTTCGATGTCTCTTTTTTAAAGAAATGATATGTGAACTATTGTTGAATATTTTTTGGAATTAATGTTGTATTATAAGTTAGGGATCAGTATGTCCTAAAAATACTTTTAAAAAACTTTAAAAATTTATTTCTAGTTGATTGAATGTGTAATTGAATGTGTACATATAAAATAAGTTTTAAAAGAAAAAAGCAGAATATATGAAGGAACGGCTGGCATGGAGACGTTATGTTTTTTAGAAAAGTGCGGGAAACACAAGAAAAAATGCGAATGCGGTTGACAAGAAAGAAAATTAAAAAAAGGATAAAATAAACGATTTTTCATCTTAAAGGTAAAGTAGAATAGACAGCCGGAAATGTTTGTCGAAGTGGAGATTAAAAAATAGTGTTATTTTACATTAATCGAAACTATCACTTTAAAAGTTCCTCGATTTTTAAAAATTAATAGAATCCTAAAAAAACTTTGAAAATTCGTCATTTAATTCTTCTTTTTATCAAAAATCGCTCTTTGGATGGTGAGTATTAAATGCGCAAAAAAGACAAAAATAGAATGAATGATTTTGAGCGGAAATAATCGAGGAACTTTTTTAGTTAGTATTGATGTAATAATATAAAAAAAGGTTGCCTTTTCACCAAAAATACAAATACATATTACAAAAACATTACTAAACTATTTTCTCGATGAAATCTTCTAAAAATAAAATTTAATGAATTGGTGGCTGGCTGTATAATTAAATGATGAACGGCTGTCTAACTAAATGGCAAATGAAGGAAAAAACATAGAAAAGTTAAACATCGATTTTAAATTTCCGTAGGCATTTTAAATTTCTCGTCTCTTGGAGTTTCCTAAAATAGATATGCCAGATAGACTTTGTGAGAATTTATAAAAATAGAGAATGAATAAAAGATGAGCTGAGGGAAAGGCCAGCAGCTTAAGGGCTTTCCTAAGTATTTAGTTCAAAGTGGTCGAGTGGTGGAAATAGAGAAGAATTTTAAGAATTGAGAGAATAAAAAGGCAAACAATATTGGTAAAAAATAGAGAGGTAAGGAGAATAAAAAGCAAAATTGAAGTTTTTCTATGAAATGTTTATTTAGCCATCTAATCTATGTAAGATCAAAAACCAATTTTGAATAAATACATTAATCCTCTTTTCGATTTTTGAAATATTTTGTGACTGGCAAGAGAATAATCATTTAAATTATTCTAAGAATTTAAGAGAAAAGATAAAAATAAAATAATACCAACATTTAAGAAAAAAATTTTAATAAAAAATTACGTGATTGTTTTCACAAAATATAAACCCTAAAATTATTGGGTTTGAAAATAGCATTTATATGTAGTATTTGTTCTTGAGTAATGACGTGTATGGAACAAATAGGGCCATTATTTAAGGACGGAGAAAAGAAAAGAATGATAAAGAAGAGGACTGAGGTTGCCAGTTGTGTACTAACATGGTCGATAGAGGTAGGAAGTAAATTTGAGAAGCTGACAAATGCAAAAAAATTTTTATTTAAAAAATAAACATAAGAATGCACTTACAAATGATACAAATGATACATAATTAAAAACAAGTAAATTTGATAAGGTATCTTTGAAAAATAAATATATGTAGATCTTTAAATGTCGAATGTTGCTGTTTAAGCGAACGCGGGAGTATTTTACATAAATTAAAAGTTTGAATAAATGACTTGAGTGTTTAATATTAACAAACAGAATTTTAAAAAGGAAAATGATGTGAAAATATTGGAAGCAAAAAATTGTTGCTAGTATGTGATAAAGCGGAAATTAATCTCCTAGCATAAATCAGAGAAAATTTATTATTGAACTTTGTAGCATAAAATAGAAAAATTTATGACTGAATTATATACATACTACATATGTAATGTTTTATACTCTTGTTGTCATTTTATGTTTTGTCTAAATTTAAATTAGCATGTGTCTCCAACTGATAAGAACGCCAACCAAGTATTTACATAATAAAATTTTGATTTAAATACATAAAACAGTCAATCATTCTCATTCTTTTCGATACACACTTGTTATCTTATTTCCTTTAATAACTGTTCATTTTAAAGTTTGTATTAAATTACTGACATCTAATTAAAATTTATAATGGTCGAAATATTGGCATCACAGAAGTATCAAAAGGATCAAAAGAATATAATCATCAAAGATTTCACTATTCAATTTGTCCTTAAAAAAGTTTTTGATGCTAAACAAATTTGTGAAGAAAAACAACAATCAATAATTGATAACTTGGAAAGTTTTGAAGCCAAGGTAGAAGATTAAATGGAGATCAATACAAAATTTAGAATTTCAGGATATTACTAATGGAAACGCTTTTATGTCTTACATTATACGATTAAGTTTGCATTGGAAAGTCAAAAATTGTTTTGAAGATTTGCCAAGTTCGATCATCATGAAGGTATATTAAATTTGATTACCTAACATTCTATTTAATTCTAGGTTCCCTTTCCACGACATGAAACTGAAAATACAAAAAAAGACGACAAACCCTCTGAGGTTATTTCCGACTTCTTAACCATTGCTACTACTGTAAGTCGTTACTATTCATTTTCCCTAAACTTTTAATAATTTTCCAGCGTGAGATAAATTTCTACAAAAACTTTCCCTTGTTTGAACCACGTGCTAAACTTCCCAAATTCTACTATGGATATGATCATCATCCATTACAACAAGGCCTAATTATTATGGAAGATTTGTCTACACGTGCTGTAACCATCCCCGTACTTCCAGGCTTCAATGAACTTCAACTTTTTGCTTTATTGGAAGAAGTAGCAATGATTCATGCGGCTTCTTGGCGGTTTCCTCAATGGGAGCAGCTTATTGGAAGTGTTCCGATTAGGTACTTTTAATTAAAAAACAAGTAAAAACACATTTATAGCCCTGGGTTTCTTGCGGAAATGGTTACAAACACGCAAAAATTAGTAGAGGTAATGACGCCCACCTACAATGCCATTTATTTTTTAGCTTGATCCGTTGGTTTTCAAAACATTAATAAATCAGCTATCTACTACGTTCACTCTATCTACTTGTGAACAATCAAACTATAGTGGTTTAAAATTTGGCTTCCCATCCTGCATTGTACACGCCGATTTGTGGACACCTAACGTGCTATGGGAACGGGATGCACAAGGAAAGCCGACAGATAAACTCTGCGCTATCATTGATTGGCAAACAGTACATGCTGGAAATCCTTGTGAAGATATTTGTCGCATTCTTTCCTTGAACACTTCTGGTACTTACAGAAGACAGGTAATTAGTTCAATACTTTTTTAATTGACAAAATTAACTTTTCAGAACACTGAACGTTTGCTTACTTTTTATGCAGAAAAGGTTGCCGAATTTATGGGTGGAAACTCGCCCTTCACTTTTGTACAGGTATTTTTAATTTAATGTTAAAATATTTAAAATTTATTTTAAGTTAAAAGAAGCTTATAGAAAATCAATGGCTTACTCTGCATTGTAAATATTAACATCATGTAAATGTTATAATTTTTTTTAATTTGAAGGTATTTGTGCTTTGGAATTGTTTATTACCATGAGATGGATTCGATAGTTGGTACCGATCCAGAAAAAAGAAAAGTTAACCAAAAAGAATTGCTGGAAAGATGTCGAATGTTTTTGGAGGATACTATTACCTCTCTTGACAAACCAGCCTGATACTATAACTTATTTAAATTTACTTAAAACATTATGTACTAAATGCTGCCTTAAAATATTTTTAAAATAAGTGCAAATAAAATTAATACATTGTTCTACATAAATATCTGCTTTTATTTGAGTAAAACAAGCTCAATACTCTGTAATATTAAAGAAATTTTCAATTTTTCTCCCAACAAAATTTTTAAAAAAATTTCTACGCTATGAAAATAAAGTATACCTCTGAGTTGATATTTTGGAAGATTGCGGGGAGGCCTTCCCAACTAAATTACAATCAACGGCGGGCGTAAATCGATTTTACCTTGTCTATTTTGTGTGGAAAATGGGAAAAATAAATTTCTTTGCTCTCAAAAATTTTAAAAATTAAATTTTACGGGACCATCTCTTAAATCTGTTTATTGGTTGCATTAATCCTACTTAACTGATCAAAATTTGGTTGGTGGCGATATACCTTGTAGGGAAGTAAAATACTGTAAAGATAGATTTACTCTTGAAGCTTTGCGCGTAGTTTCCTCACATTAAACTTCCTAATGAAAATTTGATTTAAAAACAATTGATCTAAATTTACATTAATTTATTTTTTTTTTCAAGAATTCAAAAACTGGCCCCTGCGCATGGTTTAAGACTCTTCCCTCTTGTAGGGCTTTGCCATTCTTCCTTTTTTATTTTGTTGCTTCCCATTATTCAACTCATCTTCGTCAGGACTAATGCCTTATTGCAGTCACACACTTATCTTACCTCTAGTGAGGGTGAATCTATTTTAAATCTTCCTGATGATCAACAAGTATCAGGTACACTAGCAGTAAATGTTAATGATTTTCAAAACTTTTTTCTTCAGCGATTGCATCTCAAGAACGATTTCTAGCAATTGCTTCTAATGAAAATATTTATGTGTTCAACAACACTTTGAACTCAACTGACACCAAAGGCTATGAAGAGCTGTTGAAAATACCCCTCAATTCTAATGAATCAATAACAGATTTAAAAATTCTTGCCGCCCAAAGGATATTGCTTTTTTGTTTCTTCTCCTTTTGCAGGTTCATTTAACATACAGAATTTATAATATTCTTTATTCCTTAGAATTTGCCAAATCCCAGTAAATTCTACGTCCTCGTCTCCTAATGTAAATTGTACAACTCGAAACTTTCAACAAACCGAATCTCTTCGAGCAGTACTCTCTCCTGAGAATCGGCTATTTGTTCGCGCAATTTATTCGTCTAATAGTGCCTCAATTTTGGCTATTGATAAAACACAAACACTTGCTGCGCACGACTATTCTGAGATAAGTGAACAACGTAAGTTAATTTTATTTAAAGACAGTTAGGTGATGGAAGGTTCCTCTTCCTATTATTGAAATTTTTAACATTTAACAATTATATTTCAGGCGTAGTTTCCAGTTTTCACTCAGGTTTCTTATATTCTTTACATCTTTAATTAAGCATAAATACCAGGCCAGTTTGTCTATTTTATTGGCAGCGCAAGACGCGTAGATTTACCCTATCAACTCGAAGCTGAAAAACTCAGATACCGAACAGATGTTCGCATGACAAGGGTTTGTCAAGATGACACTAGTCAGTTAGGTGATGGAAAGTCCCTGGAATCAAGAATGGAATTGGTTCTTTCATGTGACGGACTTGGTTATTTTTTTTAGATTTTTCTGGGCAAACAAGAATTTAGATAATTCATTACACAATAATGCCAACCAAAGAGCTATTGCTGCGAGTAGAAGTACTGACGGAAAAACGCTATTAGTTGTTATCGAACGCGACGAGATTAACAACGAAGATGATATTGAAAGTCAACATACATTTGTTTGTCGCTTTTCAGTTGAGGAATTGGAGAATGCTTTTGAACAACTTTGGAGTACCTGTCAAAAAGTTGAAAGCACAAAATGGCAAACAAAGGTTTTAAAGGTTTTTTTAAAAGACAGAAAATTTAAAAACATTTTAAAGCAATGCGAAGGAGTAATGCGCGACCCTCAATGTTTCATGTTCTCTTGGGAACTTGATGAAAGATTGCCTTTATGCCGCCGTTTTGCTCAAGGTGGATTAGAAAATTGCCAGTTGAATTCTACAAAGTCGCTCATTTATCGCTCAGGATGGCTAGAGAATTTTAATGCCACACTTGGAACTCTAATAACTGGTATATTATTATTTTGAATTATATTTATGGTTTTTAGAATTGTCCATTGAACCAGAAGCTAAAATTGTTGCAGTTGAAGAGGTTGAAGATGCACTTTTGTTGGGATTTCAGAATGGAACAATTCAAAGAGTTGTTATTTTTAATTTATTTAAAGTTAGTTTTTGTAAAATTAAGGTTGCAAATATTGCTACTATAGTGGAAGGGCAGAAACAATATCAAGCCACTACTCTTTGGAATATTACTTTAGAAAATAACCAATTTAGTCACCTTGGAATGATTTTGGATGGAAATAATCATTTGATTTTTGCAAATAAAAATAAAGTTTTTTTCCAACTTATTCTCTCCACATTGTTTATTTTTAGGTCCGAAAAATGAATTTAAGTTGCCCTACAATGTATCCTCAATGTGAGGATATTGCTTGGAATGATCCTCTCAATTGTATTTGGTGTGCTTTCCCAAATGAAACTGGATTAACCATAGCAAAAGAACAGATGTTGGAGATGTGTCAATCTATCGGCGGGTTTGCACTTGATACTTGTCCACCATTAGTTAATGAGGTTGAAAATTTAAAAAAATTTAAATCATATTTTTTTCTTGAAGGTAACCAGAGAAGAGAGTGGAACATTAACTATTTGGGGAAAACGACTGAACACAATGAAAAATCTCAATATTTCTTTTTGCCGAAAACCATGCACAATTGATAAACAACTACCTGACACGTTAATTTTTTTAATTAAATTGGTGGGAAAAAAATAAAATATTTAAGAATACGCTGTAAAATGAATTTGCCGTTTGGTCATTGTAAAACACTCTCACTTGAAGGCATATTTGGCTCTGCAAATAATTTTACAATTATCCATGATCTAAGTAAACAACACAATCAAATTAGCGATGGAAAGATTCACCCAAGGTTTCTATAATTATTTTTAATAGTATTCTCCTTTTTATCTTCATAGTTATGTTATGCGTGCAATTTTAGTCATTTTAGCTGTTGTGCTTATTTCTATTGCTTTGGTTGTTATATATTGCAGTCTTTATCCAAAATATGCAAAGGTATTTTATAATTAGTAGTTAAAAATTCTACAATTTTTATAGAGATTAATCGACTTGGCCTTCTTTCGGAGTGCCAATAACAGAGGTAAGATAAATAAAGATAAAGTTATTCCTGTCCTCTATAGTTTATCGGGAGTATAATCTTTACTTGCAATCTAAACTTTCCTTTCGACTTTCTTCATTATTTCATTAATCAAATCTTGCTACTTTAATTAGATTCTATCTTACGATTTTCATCTTAATTATCAAGGTGAATTTTTGGCTTTATTTTTTTCCTTTAACTCAGATTCTTCTTCACGTATCTTTATCTTTTCTGTTCCTTAGTTGCTTCCGTTTTCCACCCTATTTTAACAGACACTGGCTACAACCCTATTCCACCACCCACAGAAATATTACGACCGTCTACATTCGATCCTCATACTTTCGGATTGGCTTTAGGCAACTGTGCACATTCTAATCAAAATTCTTTTGTTTCTGGTGGCGATGATGGAAGTCCTATTGTTATGTTGGCTGATGGAGCTCGGGTTTTAAAGATTATAAGGTTTATATCTGATTATAAATTTTAGTTGGATCTGAGAACTTTCGAATGTATTGGGGAAGGATATTTTTCCAAAGTATGTCGAGCACTCTGCCATTACCAAAAAGAAAAAGGAGTAACTGAGACAAAACGTGTTGCTGTGAAAATTATCAAAAGTGCCACAGCAATTGAAGAAGTAAAATTGGAAGTTGACACTCTCAAAAAATGCAAACATCCAAATATTGTGCAATATATTGACCATTTTATTACCGATGAAATGCGTTTTATACATATTGTACTTGAATATATGGGTGGTGGTGATTTACACAATTTTCTGATTGATAGAAAAAACGTTCGTTGAATGTGAATTAATTTCTATTTTTTTTTTATTTTTCAGACGCCAACAATCGGAGATGCTTTTTCTTACATTATTCAGATTGCTAAAGGAATGGCATATTTAGCTAGTCAACGAATTGTTCATAGAGATTTGGCTGCCCGCAATTGTATGCTTGATACTAGCAAACGTGTTGTTAAAGTGACAGACTTTGGCCTTTCTCGTGCACTAACCCGATCAAAATTATATGGCGAGAATGATGAAAACTATGTGTATATTTACATATCTGGTAATCAACAGCAGAAATTGCCTTATCGTTGGACAGCTATTGAATGTTTTAGAGAAGATCCCTTGGTTTGATAAAACAAATTTAGTCGAAGATTTTTCTAAATTTTATAGTTCTCCGAAAAAACTGATGTCTGGGCATTTGGAGTGCTGATTTGGGAGATATTCGCCCGTCACATTGAACCTTATGAAAATATGAAAAGTACAGAGGTAAAGAGATTTCTTGAAGCTGGCAAAAGGCTTGAATGTCCAAAGCATTGTCCTGAACCTCTTTAGTAATATTTTTAAAGTCTGAATCAAATATAACAAAACTATTTAGTGAGTTAATGTTATTTTGCTGGGATGAAGATCAAATAAAACGACCAAATTTTGATGAAATTTATCTACAATTAGAAAGTATCTTCGATGAATTGATGAAAAATGATTCAGAATCAATGAATTGTCAATATGAATCATTGAACGATTCGGAATATGAGACGGTAAATATTCTAGAGATTTTCAATTAAAAAATTAAATTAAAGCCAATTACTACAAAACAAAATTTGCCACCTACGCAGCTTTCTTCATACTCACATTCTGGATTATCTAGTACATCAACAAGAGTTGTGGATGATCTAAATAATTCAACAGCAATTTAGTTATTAGAATTTTGTGGGATAGTGCGGGTAACCCATTGCCATATGTGCTAATTGTATATAAATCACAGGCGGCTCCAAAGTGATTATACCAAAAATAAATTCCGAAGAAATATAACTAAACTTTTTCCTAATCCTTGCTGAATGATCTTTAACATTCTCTGGAACCGCTTAATATAATTCCTTCACTTTTCCAAATTTTAAATTATATTTATAGTCCGGATATGGTGGAATGAAAATTTCAAATCGTGAAGCCTTAAAATTCACTTATGGGATAATATCTTCCGTATTTTATTGTCGGTCATTACAACCCCAACTCTCACTTAACTAATTTTCCTCTCCACATTCCTTCAAAACATTAGTATTATACCAGGATTGCCTTTTCCACCACTCATCTTTAGTGATCTAATCCTTATTTATGGCTCATATTTACATATTTCTATTACGATAAATTCTTCAAAAAATTTGGATATTTTTGGAAAATAGATTCAGGCATATCTTTTAAAATCAATAAAAATTGGAAGATTTAAGTAATATGATACATTTATAGAATGCTTTTATGTACAAACTTATTATTCCAAAAATTTAAATATTTCAGAAATAACTAAACATTAAATATTCTACATATTTTAATGTCACAAAATAAAAGCTTGCCTTGGCAAGAAAAGCACTAAATTAATAAATAATAAACTAATTACAAGCACTTAGATCGCCTTGTACGCTTTCAGCACCACCAATTTCAGAAGAATAACCGCTAGTTTTGTCATCTTTATTAAAATCATCATCTGATTTTTCATTATCCACAATCAATTTCCCGTCAGGTCCTTCTGACAAAGTTCGACTGCGGCTGCTATAATAAAATTACATTTTGGGTTAAAACATACACAAAAAATAAATACCGAATTGTTTCTCGAGGACATTCAACTACAATCTGTTGACTAATCACGCCGATTTTAGACGTTTTACTAACCCAACGCTGTGCAAGAACATAAGCAGCTGGTAAGTCCAAATAGAGATCAGCGAGATCATTAAAGAGACGCTTAAATCCTTTTTCAATGCAAGACTCAGCCAAAGTGCCCTTATCCGATAAGTCCTTAAGTGATCAAAAAAATTCACATCGAATATATACTTATCAATAAAACCTTCAAAAGAATGGCAAGTTTGTCCATCACGTGGTCATGCATTTCTTCTAGAGCAAAAATACCGGCCTTATACACAAATTCATGATGGAAATGAGGAACCCGTAAATCAGAAAGTCGCTGCGTTGCCGCTTCTTTATCATTACTATTCAAATATTCTTTAAGAATATGCTTAAACTGTTCCGAAAGGACTTCTTAAAAATATTATAATGTAAAGATAACAACAATTAAGAAACCTGTAGAATTTTGTCCGCCACATGGAGCACATTTTCCCATAAGCAGATGATGGTTATTCGCAAAAGTAACTGCATCTTCATAACAACTCCTAGTAGTTTGGAGAAATTTTTTAAGACAAAAGAGAAAGATATTTAACTTACTTCACAAGCTGTGCATCGCTCGAATGTTTAGACGCAAGCATGTTGAGAATGTTCAGTGTACAAAGATTATGTTCAACCAATTTTGCCATGAGAATTGCTAGAGACTCAGCTGCCTTGGGAACATCCTTAGAAATATCACCAACAGAACCAACAATATCTTCAAGAATATCAGCAATTGCAGAAAATGAAACCTGGACAATAATTTGTTTTTTCTGAATACGACCCGCCATTTTCTATTTAATTACCCATTTTTTGTTGACCATTTCAGCAAGCATGTTTGCAGTCATGTCATAACTTCCAACAGAATTTTCAATAGTAACCATCAAAATATCCTTAACCATTTTATGGACCATATCTTTAGTAAGAGCAAATTTTTCCAAAGAATCTAAAGCTTCAGCCAAATTTCCATTCTCTAGATAATCTCTCATTATTTGACGAATCTCTTCATCGCTATATTTTCGCACAAAATCCGCGTACTCATCATACTCTTCTTCTGAATCCGAGCTGAATGTTTTGTCCTGGTTATCATTCTCATAAGCTAAATCAATACAGTCCAATCCATATTCAAAACAGTTTCCTTAAAATTAAAATCCTTAACCAATTCTATCTTTATTTAATACCGTCATTTTTGATAGCACAGCCACTAACTCCTCTCGATCTTGCTTTACGCTCAGCACGACCATTCTTCAAATTTTTGATAAGATTCTTGCTACTAACTAGAAAAAAGATAAATTTCTTAGATAATAAAGAAGAACAAACCACAATGATTCTCAAAAACTTCAGTAATATTCTTTACAGCATCTGAAGGTAAAATTCGGGGAGGATTTGCTCCACTCGCCTTTGCAAAACGAATTTCCGCTTCGAGTTCTGGATCTTTTTGCTGTTTATTTGCAATATTATGATGATTTTTATGAGAACAATTCTGTTTAGAAGCATCCATTAATAAGTAGAATTAAAAGAAAATTTTGAATATAATTATGGCTAAATCTGAAAATTTATAAATAAAAACTTTGTTTAAAAAAGTTTTGCCACGTCTTTCTACTGAAAACTTAAAAGAAACGCGAAATGAAAATTTTTTTTCCAAAAATTCAACATTTTTACATAGTTATAGAAATCCTCTTTTCTCTCCTTATTCTTTCTCCATACTATTTCTCTTATACACAATTTTCCTCCAAACCCTTTTCTTTCACGATGTATGCCAAAGCAAAGTAGCTCAGGTTTAAGAGCTGTGTGTTTAATCATTGAAAATTTTCTTAAAAATAAGCTTTTTCATTTTGCTTTTTCTTAAACTATATTGCAATTTCGCGCTATAGAAAATTGCCGCCTGACCCAAAACTTTTAAAAATCTAAGAATACCCCATCCAAAACAAAGATAATTGAAAACAAAATAGAAAAAGAAAATCAATTGAAAACAGCAAGTCCAATTAAGCGGTTTATTTCAAGAATACTTTGCATCACAATTGTCTAATAATTGAGAAAAAAGCTAGACATTTGAAAATATAATTGCCAGCTGTCAAATTGTTTTTACTGATAAATTTAAGAGCATTTTTGATTTTTCATTTATTTTTCGTTCAATTCCCTGCTTAAAATATTGCTATTAAATTCAAAATTTTCTTCAAATTAGGTAAAAATATCCCGCAAGATAGAAGAACTGCCAATAAAAAATTTTTCGATGAATACCTTTAGGTCGGAGGCCCAAAACATTTCTGCTTTTTCTCACTCCCAAGTAGTGAACGACATATCGACTTTTTCTTAAGGAAAAAAAGTCGTTTTAAAAAAATCTACAATTATTCGCGAACGACTTTTTTTTAAACACACAATGCCAGAACTACGTAAATATCGATGTTTTGCGCCAAACGATTGCGAATCGACTTTTTTGTGTCTCTTTTTCTCTAATTTCACGTTATATTTCCTTTCTCTTTTTCTATTAATTTTCGTTCGTGTAGTCTCTCCTTTGGAATTTGCAATTTTCCATTTTTATAAATGTTCAGTCCCTTTTCTGTAATTTTTAGGGATTTTTCCACATATTTATATTCTTACTATATGGAGAGGAGAAGTAAGAGGAGATGATGCCAAAAGTGGATTGAAAGCCTTTAACAGGAAGATGAGTGAAATTTTCATTGAAAATCCGGAAAGTCTTTCCATCATCAGATGTGCTGCTTACCTTGATCCTGCCGTTTGTTTCCCCACCTCCCCTAAAACAGATCTCAAATTAAAAATCAAGACAAACTTTTTTGTGAAATTAATTTATGTATCCGTGATTCAAAAACAAAGTAAATAATTATAAGGACGACAAAACAAAATAAATTTAAAGAAAAACAAAGTCAACGAGGAGATCAATCCATCAAAACCTTTTACATTAATTTAATCAACTTCCTCCATACGCGAAGCGTCCTCCTCTGCACCGGCAATCTTTTCGACAGGTTCCCCAGAAGTGCAGGGTTGTGGATCTTCAAGAGAGAAGCCAGAAGTCAACAAAGTCATCTTGGTCGGAGTCATCTTGGCCAAAATATCCTAACACTAAAAATAAAACAAATATTCCAAAATTCTTTAAACAAAATCTTAAATACCTTAATAACTTTGCAAAGTTTCTCAAATTTAACTTTATCTTCTTCAAACTTCTTCTTTTCCTCTTCACTTTCTGGCAACTCCAAACCTTCTTTAGTCACGCTAACCAACTTCTTTCCATCAAATTCTTTCAATTGTTGAATGCAATATTCATCAATTGGATCAACCATATAAATAACTTCAAAACCTCGCTTCTTAACACGTTCAACAAAAGCTGAGTTTTGAACAACTTCTTTAGACTCGCCAGTAATATAATAAATGCAAGTCTGATTCTCCTTCATTCGTCCAACATAATCCTTCAAGCTAACAAGTTCATCGCCAGAAGAGGAAGTGTTGTAACGGAGATATTCGGCAAGCTTTTTACGGTTGACAGAATCTTCGTGAATACCCAACTAAAGAACAAATAATTTTCAAAAAAACATTTAAAAAACCTTAAGATTCTTGCTGAATTGTTCATAAAATTTCTTAAAGTTGTCCTTGTCTTCAGCAATTTCATCAAAAAGTTCGATACACTTCTTGACCAAATTCTTTCGGATCACTTTAAGAATTTTGGATTGTTGGAGCATTTCACGAGAAATGTTAAGAGGAAAGTCCAATGGAGAGAATTCCAATGGAGAGACAACGACATAGAAAATTAATAGAAAAAGAGAAAGGAAATATAATGTGAAATTAGAGAAAAAGAGACACAAAAAAGTCGATTCGCAATCGTTTGGCGCAAAACATCGATATTAACGTAGTTCTGGCGTTGTGTGTTTAAAAAAAAGTCGTTCGCGAATAAAAGTAGTTATTCGCCGCGAATCGACGAAAACGTAGATATGTCGTTCACTACTCCCAAGCTGCAAACCTTTGCAAATATCAGCTAGATCGATCGTACACCAATCTAATGCGGGGAGTTATGAAGATGATTCATAAGCTGGCTGACAGTTAAAACGCTTATAGAAAAGGTGTATAATATCTGAAGAAAAAGCAAATAGATAGGACCCTTGTGCAGCCCAGAAAATGCTTTGGAGCAGCTTTTGTGAATCACTTGCCGTTATAATATAGAAACTAGCAATCATTTTGAATTTTTACTAGCGAAACATTTCTAGCGCCCCAACCATATTAGGAAATAAAAATATGCAAAACATGTATCTAATCGCAGGATAATGCACGAACGAGATAATTAAAAACGATTTTTCTCGAGATAAATTTTATACTTCGTTTTTTGTCCTTTTGAGATTATGATACTTTTAATTAAGTATTACTTCATAATGTAGAATACGAAATATATACAAACAAAGATTTACATTTTTAAGGCCGCCACATGTTCCTTTTTTCACAAATTTTAATAAAATTTTCCATTAATTTTTCAGGAATATGTCAGAATATGTCAAATTGTTCGCAGATATCTCAATATATTAGAGACAAAGCTAATCGAACCCGAATTGCTATTGAAAGTTTTTATGCTCAAACCATTGTACAACTTACTGAAAGGGATCAAAAGACTGAAAAATTTGAACAAAAAATGACTAAAGATGGTAATTTGTAAAATAAAATTAATAAGAGTTAAAATAATTTTAGGACTCAGTGAAAAAGAAAAGGAAGCTAAACGACATTTACATGTTGCAAATAATAATGATTTTATTAAACAGAGGCCTAAATTATCAGCAAGTGATTTCCAGTCACTTAAGGTTATTTTTTTAAACATTTATTAAATTATTTATTACAAGCCTAGGTAGATACAAATTAAAAATTGTTTAAAAAATATTGAATTTACACATAAAATTTCCCTTAAGGTAATCGGTCGCGGTGCTTTTGGTGAGGTTCGCCTTGTTCAGAAAATTGATAGTGGCCATATTTATGCAATGAAAATTTTGCGAAAGTCTGAAATGCTCGAAAAAGAACAGGTTAAACATTATTGCACATTTTTGCTTATTCGAAAATTAATTTAGATAGCACATGTTCGCGCAGAGAGAGATATCCTTTCTGAAGCCGACTGTGATTGGGTTGTAAAAATGTTCTATTCTTTTCAAGATAACATAAATCTTTATCTAGTTATGGAATTTCTTCCTGGAGGTATTTAAAATTTTTACTTTAAGGATATCTCAAAAAACCCCCAACAAAAGTTACCACCCTCTCTCACTCCTCCCCAGGACTGTCCAATAAGTTACTACTCCCGAAAATTTATTAACGCTAAAATTATTATTTTTATTAAGGTGATATGATGACCCTTTTAATAAAATATGATCAATTAACAGAGGAACAAACAATTTTTTACATATCTGAAACTGCCCTCGCCATCCAAGCAACTCACAATTTAAATTTTATTCATAGAGATATTAAACCCGATAATTTGTTACTTGATGCAAAAGTAATTTTAATTTTTAAAAAATTTTCTAATATTTAAAGTAGGGACACATAAAACTCTCCGACTTTGGCCTTTGTACGGGTTTAAAAAAGATACACCGAACAGAGCTTTACAGAAATTGGCCTTCACAGTTACCTGCTGATTTTGCAACAAAACCATTTGATTCTAAACGGAAAGCTGAGACATGGAAGAAGAACAGGAGAAATTTAGTTTGTTTTAGAAAATGATAATTACCAGATGATTTTAACAACCCCAAATTTAGGCATTTTCTACTGTTGGTACACCTGATTATATTGCGCCCGAAGTCTTTCAACCAAATGGCTATACAAAATCATGGTAAATAGAAACTTAAAAAATAAGATACAATTTTAAGAAATAAATTTTAAGAAATCCCTTTAATTTTGGTAAGACTAATTATGCTTATTTTTAGTGATTGGTGGTCCTTAGGTGTGATAATGTACGAAATGCTCATTGGTATTGTTAAATTAAATAAAATAAAAATAATTTCTAAAGGTTATCCTCCCTTCTGTTCCGAAACTCCACAAGAAACACATAGAAAAGTGATGAATTGGCAACAAACTTTAATCTTTCCTCCTGAAATTCCAATCTCATTGGAAGCAAAAAATGTATTTTTACAAATTAAAATTTTATATTTTCAATTTTATCTTTAGACGATCAAACGATTTTGTTGTGAAGTTGACAAAAGATTGGGGAATGAATCTGGTCTTGAAGAAATTAAAAATTGTTCCTTTTTCAAAAAAACTGATTGGGAACATATTAGGTATTTCAATTGTTTATAACTACACCCCACTATTATTTTCTCACTAGAGAGTCGCCTGCACCGATTCGGATAGAAGTTAAAGGAATTGACGATACCTCAAACTTTGATGATTTTGGAGATGCTGATATCCCAATAAGTAAATCATAATATTTTATCTTAATTTTTTTCTATTTATTAGTTGGCATGAAGGATGTTGTTGCGGGTGGTTCTCCTGCTGGTATTACAGACAAAGGTGAATTCATTCATTACACATTCGAGCGGTTTAATTGTTCCATTCAACAAAAACGTGGAACAAATCAAGCACAATTGACAACTGCACAACAAGTTAATGAGGAATTAAGTGCTAGAAATACTACAGGTTCTTCAATGAACGACAACAATTTATAAAACATAGCCTTTTTAATGTTGATAACTTTGAAATATAAATTTCTTGTAAATTTGATAAAAATTAAAAACTGGTATTTAGTGGAAGTGTTTTGTAGTTTTTCATTAAAAACTCGAAAAAAGTTTACGGACTGAAATTTGGTTTTTTTAAAATTTGTACCTTTGAGTCTAGTCTTTCAGGGAAACAAAAAATTTCCCTTGAATAGTTTGGTGTAGATTGCCATAATTTCTGATTTTACTTTGTTTTATATTTTTACAGTTAAATAGAATCAATGACAGATGATATTCTTCCTTCCTCTTCAGCAGAGCGTTTTAGCCCTAAAAATTCTGAGGATGTGCGGATTTTGCTCGTCGGTGATGGTATATACTTTATTTTAATTTTCATTATTTACTTTATTTTTTATAGAAGGGGTTGGTAAAACAAGTATAATAATGGCTCTTGTACACGACAATTTTTGTACAAATGTTCCAGCGCGTTGTGAGCAAGTTATTATTCCTAGAGATGTTTCTCCTGATGGAGTTTTAACTGAAATAATTGATTATTCACGTTAGTTTATTTTGTTTAAATTTAGAGGGTTAATTTAAATTTAGCACGAGAGCAATCTGAAGATGAACTTATTTCACTAATACAACGAGCAAATGTGATTTGTGTTGTTTATTCTGTTAGAGATACTGAGACTATGAACAGGGTATACTCTTTATTTTGCTTTTTTTTATTATAAATTTTAGGTAACTTCATACTGGCTTCCTCTGATTCAAAAATCACTTGGCGGGGGAGAGCACAACCGTTCAGTGCTTCTTGCAGCAAATAAGTCAGATCGTCAGGACGAAACGTCTCATATTGACAAAATGATCCCTATAATGAATGGTAAATCTGCTTTTTCACGTCTTTTTTAATCAATAATTTTAAGATTATTTGGAAATTGAAACTGTTGTTGAATGTTCTGCTAAAATAATGAAAAACATCTCGGAGATTTTTTTCTATGCGCAAAAGGCGGTAATTTCAGGAAGTTGATGAGCTATATGTAAATTAATATTTTCAGGTTGTTTATCCATTTCGACCTTTAATGTCTTTAGAAGAAAAGAAGCTTTCAATGAAATGCCAGAAAGCTCTTGCAAGGATATTTAAGGTTTCATTTTGTTTTTAGTTTTACAATTTCCTTTTAAGCTAAGCGATTCCGATAATGATGGCTTCCTATCAGACGAAGAACTCATGGATTTCCAGCTATTTTCTTTTAGTGTTCCGTTGACGCCCATCGCTATTGCTGTCTGTATATTGGCTAACATGTGTAATATTTACTAATAATTTGCAGGAAGTGAAACAAGTAATTTCTGATTATGATCCAAACATGTTGGTGGATAATGCTCTTACACTAGAAGGATTCCTCTATTTGCATCAGATGTTCATTCAGAGAGGGAGACATGAAACTGTTTGGACAGTGTTAAAGAGGTTTGGTCATGATCTCAATCTACAACTGCGACAGGATTATTTGCTTCCAAAGTTTGCATTTATTTTTTTGCTAAAATATTTTAATTTAAAGAATAAAGATCCCGCGAGGTTCTTCTGTTGAGCCATCAGATATTTGCCTGAATTTCCTTTCTGAACTTTTCAAACGTTTTGATGAGGTAATGATCTTACAATAAATTTATTTTTTTACTAAATTTTGGTTATAACTTTTTTTTCTTACTCCATTTCCTGTAGACAAATTGTTTATTTCCTTTTTCCTATTTTTTGGTTCAATCAGTCAAAATAAGAGTTAAACCAACTAACGTGATAGGCAGAAAATTATCAAAAAAAAGTGCGAATGATGGCGGAGTAGATCGTCTTAGGGCAAGTGACGTCCTTTCTTTTCTTCCCGCCATTCTCTCCATATCGCGACTAAATCGATCGTTTCCGCTCAACGAATCGGGTGGCCTTTAGTAGAACCATATCAACACGCAATAATTTGATATTTACAATCAAAACATCCTAATTGTTTTTATTCTCTCTTAATAAATCCCTTCACACGATTTATTTTTCAGGATTTCGATGATTGCCTTTCTTCAAATGAACTTCAAAGTTTGTTTAGCGTTTGCCCATCAAATCCTTGGACGGAAGAAATGTTACATGCTGTGGAATCCAATTCACTTGGATGGATTACACATAATGGGTACATCAATTTATGGACGTTTGTTTTTTATGTTAAATTATTTTGGATTTTTCTAATTTAGTCTCAACTTTGCGCTTAATCTTTCACAAGCATTGGAGCATTTGGCTTATCTTGGATTCAACATCAAATATCATAGCCAAAAAGATGCAATAACAGTTTATTTATAATTATTTTTTCTGTTTAAATTATTGTTTAAGATAACTAGAGATAGGAGGATGGATATAGAAGAAAAATCGACCAAAAGACGTGTATTCAGGTGCCATGTTATAGGTCCAAAAGGCGCTGGGAAAACAGTTTTTTGCCGTTCTTTTATTGGAAAAACCATTGAAGTAGGTTCATTTAAAGAAAACTTTACGTTTTTAATGGTTTTCAGGATATTGATAAGATGACAAGAAAGCAGTTTATACCATACACAATCAATTCAGTTCAAGTTAAATCTGATGTTAAACATCTTCTGGTTATTTAATTCCTATTTAAATTTTATTTCAAGTTTTTAAAAAAATAGATTCATGAGGTGGATGTTTGTTCACAAAATGAATTGCTGTCAAATCAAGAGAAGACTGCGGATGTAATTTGTCTTTTGTATGATTCTTCAAATCCAAACTCATTCGCTTATTGTGCCGACATTTATTTGGTAACCTTCTTATTTATAGCAGGAAATATCTTTTCATTTTTAGCGTTATTTTAACCGGACCAAAGTACCCTGCCTTTTTGTTGCAACAAAAACAGGAAAATATACTAAAGATCAAAACTATGAGTACCAACCAGAAGATTTTTGTCGGGAACATCAACTACCTAAGCCGCAATATTTTTCTAATGCAGATATTGGAAATCCTTCAGCTGATGTCTTTTTTCAGTTAGCAACTATGGCAACATTTCCGTTTGTTCATTTTGTATTTTTAAGATAAATAAATTTTTTAGGCATCTAAAAAAGCTATACTTTGCGAAAGATACTTATGCACATTTATTTTCGCTTGCTGCTGTTGGAGGAATTGTTGCACTATTTGGATTTCTCTGGATTAAATCAACCAGAGGATAATTTTAATTTCTTATGGACTTTGTATTATTTTCTAATAAGGGTGGCAAGGTTTTTTACATTCTATTTTTGAAATAACTTATTTGGCCGCTCTTATTTAAAGGCGTTTAACCAAAAATGATTTTTATGTTTATTTTTAAAATCTTAATAATTCAATAATTTTATGGACTTCAATAATTTCGACCTGACTATTGTATTATTATCGTGCTCAATCTATTAATTTTCTTATATTTTTTAATGACAAAGATATAATTAATTTAAAAAATTTTTGCTTAATTATCATTTTACTATAAATTAATCAGTATTTTTTCAATTATTTTTGAAATTTTTGATTAATTCTTTTAATTTAATTTTAGATTTAACTTAATAGAAAAATGGGTATTTGTAGATTTTTGCTCTCTAGGAAGGAAGAAGTTTCTCTTTTTGACAATGGCCTTAGAATTGAATCTAGCCTTAAAATTTTGACTAATGATAAGGTTTTTTTTTATTTGCTTTTTATAAATTAATTTTTATTTAAATTAGTGGTTAAGTCGTTATGTTGTTTGTCAACGCCGTTGTCTTGCAGAACCGCCTCTAATTGTTTTGTTTGCAATTTTATTTTAATAATTTTGTCATTTCAGGGAATTTTCAAAAACGCAAAAAGGCGTGAACGAGGTGAACATCTTGACCTTTTTTACTTGCATAATTACATTGGATATGAATATGGTGATTCTTGCTGTAAATTTTTTTGTATTTTTTTTTATTTTAGGCTTTAAATTCAAGCATTCAAATAAAACACTTGCAATATTAATTCAAAGCCAGACGCTAGTTTTTTCATTTGACAATGTTGAAAGTTTGGTTTTTTGGAAAGAATGGCTTAAAGATGTGTGTGGTCGAAGTATTTTTTAATTTTTTGTTAAACATTGAAAATAATTTTTGAAGGTGCCATGTTTTTTGTTAGAATTTATTCTGCTCCAAAAGACAATTCTACAACAAGGCTTTGTTCTAAAGGTGCGCGGATCCACATCACAGTTAAGAAATATACTCTTTACAAAAACTTTGATAATTTAGCGTTATGCTCTCGTTATTGTCCAAGAAGTTCCTCCAAAGCAACGATTTTATCTTAATCTTGAAGACCTTTCAGGTTCGCTTTCTTAATAATTTTTTTGAACATCTAGTTTAGATGTTGAGTGTGTTCAAAACAAATTTGCTTTCCGTGCAATGTCATATGCATGGAATCAGCCGCGTACCTTTATATTCACTAGTGAACAAGTTCCAGAATTGACTGCAAAGCTTCAGTGTTTGTTAAAGGTTTTACTTATTTTTACCTTTATATATTATTCATTTTTGCCTCACATAGATTTATTTTACTAATTTCAGGCCAAGCAATATTTCAATCATAGCAATCAAGTAAGCAGACTTTCATCACTTAAAAACAGTTCTTTGGGTCAAACCTCGACAGCTAATCATCCAATGCAACAATTTTTTGCTCCATCGCCAATATTTTATGCAAATGACAATAGTGAGGGACATCATTCACCTATCCCGTTGTTTACATCTTTATATGCTAATGAAAACGATGGTCAGCATAATCAAATTTTTCCTTCGTTATATGCTAATGAAATGGAGCGAAAAACTTTTAATTCGCTTTATTTAAATTCTATGGTGGCAGCTGCTTTTTAATTATTTATTTAAAAATGACTCTTGTAATCATGGTTTTTATTTATTTTGAGCTTTCATTATGAGCTTTATTATTGCCTTTTAAGTTCTAATTTATTTATGCTTTACTATTTTAACTAAAAATATAAGTATTCTAATTATAAAATATCTCAATACTTGCCATATCATTTTTAATACTCTGCCTTATGTTAATTAATAAAACGTATCGCTCAAATTCTGATACTCATCTTATAAAGAGATTCAAATAAATTTTTTTGTTATTCTTCGAATTGTTGCTGCTTTTTAAATACTTTTGTTCAAGCTTTATTTAATTAATTTTTTAATTCTTTTCAACTTTTTAGAAGCTTTTCGTGCTTCGTACAATTCTGATGAAAATGGTCCTGGACCACCACCTCTAAAGAAGAAATCTTTCGAAGAGGGGCATTACGCCATTCCTGTTGACCTTGGTTGTGAGCACGAAATTGTGGACTCTGTCGAGGATTTGATTGATGGACCAATTCGAAGTAGAGGAGGCAGCAACATTATAAACAATGGGTTAGTAGAAGACTTTCATTTTATTGAGGGCACTCCAGCACAATTTTTAAATCAACAACTACTTGCATCTGAACCAGTTACAAATTCAATTTTCGAAATACCTCCACCTGGCCTTGTTAAACCATTAGTTGATCTGCATATTCTCTCTTCTGGTTCTAAAATAAGAAGATCATTAGCTCAGAAGTTAAAAAGGCATCTTGATGGCTCATATTCAGTAAGTTATTAATTAAAAAATTATATTAAAAAAATTTTTTCCTCAGAAATATGATGGTGACAGAAGCAGCAATAGCTATCCAAAAGATTTGAGTGATGGATCTCATAAACAACGAAAACCTCCTTCAAAGAAGTCAATAACGCCTACAAAAGAATTAATGACTAAACTAATAGTAAATCCTATAACTGAAGAAGAACCGCTTTCAGCAGCTCAATCACCTTTGCCCTGCAGGCCATCTAGGCTTGTAAGGGATGAATCTTTTGACTCTTCCATTAGTTCTACTGCCCGAATTGATAATGCTGTGTTAAAAGGAAAAGAAAGACTAAAAATGTCGCGAAGAAGTTCAACTTCAGTATCAAATCGGAATAGTACAGCAAATGAAAGTGAAAAGTCGTCGATTGATAATTCTGATGCTGAGAATTGTATAGATGAGGTTAATCTAGAATCCTTTGATCCAAAAATACAAGAACAAAATTGTGTTGATGATTCTACCGAGACTAGGTTTGTGAAATATGAAAACTCTTTCCTGATGTTTTTTGTTTATATCCTCGAAAATATTTTTAACGTTAAAATTTAAGATCAACCTCACAATCAATTTCAACAGCTCACACTAGCGGAACTCGACACACTTCTGTTGCGGAACAAAATACTTATGGAAATCTTTGTAGTGAATCTACCTCGTCCACAGGGCTCAACCAAAACAATTCATTGGCTATTAGTCTTGAGGTTTATTAAATAATTTATATTAAATAATTTAATACAATTTAAAGGATCTACGTGATCCAGACTTCAAAATACGTGGATTTTCTGTCACTTCTTTAAAAGAGAATTCGATTTCCAATGGAAGGTCTTCAAACATGAGCGAGAGAAGTTTGAGTATTTGTAGTGAATTAAATTCGAGAATTATGTTTCAAAGAGGTGGTAGAAATCGGGCAAGTGGAAAATCAAATAAAGTATTTTATATTAAATAAATTTAAATAGTTTGACAATTCAAGGTTGTTGAAGTGCCAGTACCTCCCCAACATCCTCCTCCTCTTCCTCCACGTAAAATTTCATCTCAGGTACTTTCCATTTTTCAATTTTCTTTATTATTTTTTAGCCGTGTATGCCCAAACCATTACAACTTTTACCAAAATTCGATGGTATATTCTTTGGTTAGTAAAGTTTAATTTTTTGTATTTTAGGTGATTATGCAGACATTGACGAACTAATGATAAATGAGAGAAATGTTCCCTCTGATGACGTTTTATTGCACCATAGCTTTAACCCAATATACTCAAATGGTGCAGGAACGATGCCAGTAAGCAATGAAAATATAGACTACGTACAAATTTGTCCCATGGCAACAACAGCATTGAAGGAGGTTACTTTACTCATTTTTAAAATTATCCAGTTTTTTGAATTTAAGTTGAGCACTACTCGGAGCAATAGTTTCAAGCGTTCAAACTCGCTTTATGATATACTCTCGATTCATCAACCAAAGGATACAACAAAAATACAAAATAGTGAGGCAGATTATTATGCCTCTTTTGACTGGACCAATGTTTGTATGAGTCCCAGGGCGTTAACTTCTAGCGCTTCATATCTAACACATATGTTGAATAAAGGGAACCCTCAGGGAAAAGATTCGGCAAACAGTTCTGGCAAGAAGACGAATAGAAAATGAGTATGGATTCTATAATATACAATTTTCTAGTTTTGACATCGTTGTCATAATTTTTAAACATTACCTCCTTAATACATACAAATTTATTTTTATAAATTTTATCCACTGAACTCATTTTTCAATCCTCCGCTTGAACTTGACTACCTAATTGAGACGGAATTACACAAATAATTAAGGAATTTTACCCCATATTATACGTCTCGAAAAAGGCAATGTTGTTTAACTTCCCTATTTTTGCGCAGTCCTCCAATGACAAAAACTTTTGTTAAAAAATAAGGCTCTTATTTTTGGTTTGATTCATGTCAATAATTTGAAATAAGTACAAAATTGGCCGATCATATTGCATTGCTTGATCGATTCTTCATTCGTTTTAATCTATTATTTTATGGTTGCGCAGTGACGGAAATTGAGAAAAGAGTAGAAATGATGTCAGTTTTAATTTGACAATTTTTATTTTCCATTTAATTCCTTTTTTGCCTTTTCTCGATACAAATTAGTTTCCATATCCTTGGAGATGCCACGACAAGTACTCGAACTAGTCGACTATTTTGCACCATTTGCTGCTTTACTCATGGTTAGCCGATTATTTTTTTTTGATTAAAATTAAGCAAAGAATTTTTTAAATTATTTTAGTTCGCCTTCGCTATTCTCTTCTTTGCCTTCTTCCTTGTTAACTTTTACTACATAAGTGACAGGGACTCGCTAACTGTATTTGAGAAGGTACATATTTTCGTAGAATATTTTTAACCTTCAAATTCACTTCGTTTTATAGTTCGGCGCGCAATTTGACATATGTCTTGGCCCTCACTCCATGAGCGATATTTATCGTGGAGGCCCAAAGTCGCAGTTTGACTTGCAGAAAGTTGAGCCAGAGGAAACTGTAGTGGTCCAAAGAGCTGGACGATCATCTGAAATAAGAGGAAAATTCTAAGTGAATTATTTCGATCGAACAACTTTATAAATTAAGAATTATAGTCTTAAATTTTGAATTATTTTAATATTTTTATTCTTAAAATTGGTTCTAAATGCCAAATAATTTGTTTCTTTTTATAATTACTTCACTAATTTTAATTAAAGAACATATTTATTATGCCACCTAAGAAGCAGAATAAAACTATGTTACGTCACTACGACCCTGATTTTAATGCTTCTGATTCTAAATGGCTTTTATTCGGTCGTTGGCATGTTCAGGTGAAATAAGATTTATGGAAGTAACCAGAATTAATTTTAATTAAATTATAAACTTAAGTTTCCGGAAAAATCAGAATTAATTTTAATTAAATTATAAACTTAAGTTTTCGGAAAAACCAGAATTAATTTTAATTAAATTATAAACTTAAGTTTCCGGAAAAATCAGAATTAATTTTAATTAAATTATAAACTTAAGTTTCCGGAAAGATCAGAATTAATTTTATTTAAATTATAAACTTAAGTTTCCGGAAAAATCAGAATTAATTTAAATTATAAACTTAAGTTTCCGGAAAACCAGAATTTATTTTATTTAGGTTCTAAACTTAAGTTTCTGTGAAAATAAAGTATAAAGAGAACATTTTTTATTACAGAAAGTAGCTCCAGTGTTTTCGCTCATTTGCTGCGCTGTATCTGTACTTCTTGCACTTGCCGGCTACATATTAATCTTTTCCAATCCAGTTCTTATATTTTGGCTGGGGATAAATCTACTTTTATTGGTTGTTTCATCACTTGCTTTTCTTGGCTCCATCAAGAAAATACCATTTTTGTTACTTCCCTTTGTCTTGGTAATGTGGGCATTTTCCGTATTATGGTTTGGACTTTTCTTCTTTCTTCTCCCAATGATTGTAGTTCCACGTTTCTGGAACCATTGGATGGATGTTCTTTTTGGAATTGGAAAACCCGGAAAATCTGGTAATTTAAAGAAGATTCAACTAAATATTTAAAAATGTTTTTAAAGCTGTTCGAGTAATAACAATTGGTGGAGTGCTACTATCATTCCTTTTCCTATGTATATTTACTGTCCTTAATGTGACAATGAAGCGAGCAAGGAATTTCATGCTTGCCAAAAAGTTTAAAGAGCAAATGACAAGTAAAAATGGTAGAAACAATAATGCTCAGGTCTTCGAAACTGTAGCCTGAAGAAGAAACACAATACCTGGAGATTGATCCAGGAACACTTAGACTAGATATTTCGAACGAACGAACGAAATTCTTATATAAAATACATACTGCTACTATTCCTTCAATGAATTCAAGTCAAAATAAAATTATAAGAATATGCTATTTAATTTTCAAAAGGAAATCCTGCTTTAGTTTTCTTATCTCATTTTTTAAAAAATGCAATGAGCATTCCCACAAATGAAAATCAGTTCCCAAGTGAGTTCATCCTCTCATTTTTACTTGGGATTGAAAATTAGATGCTATTGCTATAAAATACAGAAAATATTTGATTTTTATTAAAAGGTGGTCAAGAGAAACATCTCAAAAATTTTTAAAAATGTGCGCAAATTTCGATAAATTAAAAAGGATAAGTTTGTAGATCTTTGAATGAAAATTACCAGCTGCATACATAAATATATCTTCTATTTTCCCTCATTACTACGCTTATTTTTGTTTGTTTGCACGTTCTAAGTTTAGTAATAGCGTTGTGGTTTCTTCAAATTTTATCTTTTTTCCATACTTTCTTTTTCTTGTCCTCATTCTCATAGCTCAACACAAACGAGCAAAATTACTGGCAAGAACGGCGGCTGGAAGGAAGCAAGCGAGGGAATAGAGGCAGATATATTCAATTTAAAGATTTTCTATTTTCCTTTTTTCCATTGTCTGTTTATCGTTTAAGCTTTTAGATCCACTCATCTACTAGTTTTTCTTTTCTTATTTCACACTGCATTTATTTTCGGCTTTTACGCCTGCTTGTACACAGTGCAAAATTTACGTCGTTGGAGCTCGCCTTGGCCCAATTTTATTTTGCACTCTCTTCTATTCATTGCTTCTACGCTCTGATACCCATGTCACTCGACTGGCAGGAAAAGGCTGACAATGTCTGTTGTTTGAATGCCTAGTATATGTCAATCTGAACCGCCAGCGACCCACTATTGAGCAACAAAACACGCAGTTTTCCCAAGTCTTAATCCAATAAATGCCCTCTATCGTCCTCGGCATTTAATGATGGAATGTTTTTATGTAAGTACTTTATGTATGTTTTGGTTCAGATTTGATGCTGATTGATTCTAATTGCTTTCAATAAATGTCTTTTTAATCCTCTTTTCAAAACAGAAAATCTTTCTTGGAATTTGAAATTGGTATATGTATTTCCAGAATTTTTTTTTCGAATTTTCTAATCTTTTAGCATTTAAAATCTCGACATTTTTAAGTATTTTTTTCAGTCCATTATCGGCAAATATTAAATCTTTCTTTTACAAATTTAGTTCCCTATTTTTGAATGAATATTTTATAGTTTTTGTTAATCTTTTCACTTAATTTTTCTTATCTGTTGTGTCAAATGAGTGTTCAACAAGCAGAATCTTTGGCGTCAGCGTCACTTCCTTCTACTGCAACAACATATATAGCAACAACAACAAATTCAGCATCAACATCTTCAGCTACAACAGCAATTATTCCAACACCAAGTGAACAGCCTCCGAGTGGTGGAGATTTTGGTGGTCATGTTTTCTCTTCAAAGAAGACTTTTGGGAAATTAACATATTGCCACCAGTTAGTTTTCCAATCCACGAAAATTAAAGATTAAATATTTTAGTTGTTGCGACAAAATTTGGGGGATGCTTTCACAGGGATATCTTTGTGAAGGTATTTTTACGTCAATTTTTGTTAAAAATTATTTTTATTTCTACAGTTTGCAGCTTTGTTTGTCACGCTACATGTATGCGCTCAATTGTTACAGTTTGCACAGGCCAAATGATGCAACTTATTAAAAACCCTGTTGCGCATACTTGGACGGATCCACAACATATTAAGTAAATAAAATTTTATTTTTAGCTCATTTAGCTTTTAAATTATATTTAAGAAGGCATTTTTGTTGTGTTTGCCGAAAACGTACAGACGATACCCTTTCTTCAGAATGTGAAGTTTGTAGCTGTTATGTTCATGTTGACTGTCAAGATTCTGCTCTAGCTGATTGTCGAGAGGTCTCTTTTAGCTCAATTATCTTGCTATTTTCTCTAAGGCATCAACATACGTCCCCTCACTGGATCGAACAACAAGCAAACAATTTCACCACATGCGAGAAGGAAATTTAGCTAGAGATGCCAAATGTGTTGTGGTTGGCTTTTTCGGTTTTAATTTTTTGTTAATTTTGATAAATTTAGTGTAAAAAAGGATGCTACTCTGCTGAGTGTCTTAGTGGTTTTCGGTATTATTTTTCATTAAAAAAAATTTTTTTTTTAATTTTTAGTTGTCAATGGTGCAATTTATCTGTACATTCAACTTGTTATCGCCAATTTCGTCCTCAATGCGATTTTGGCCCTTTGAGAAAAATAGTGCTCCCTCCAAATGCAGTAACTACTCCACGAGCAGAATTGCCTATGGATTTACTTTTGAATATTCATACAAATACGGTGACTTTATTTTTTAAATAAAATCAAAATTTTGTCTTTCAGCCTGGCGAAACAAATAACAATGAAGGCAGAAAGGCATCATCTCCTTCAAGAACAATAGGCATTGATGAGAAAGAGGAAAGAGAAACTCGTAAAGGAGATAGGGGAGAACGTGATCCTGACAAAGAAGAGCGTGATGATGATCAGCTTCTCCTTCGTATTTTTGATGGAAACAGTTCTCTACGAAATAAAATAAGCAAAACTGCTTATGTTCCAAAGACGGCATCTTGCGAACAGATTAGGGTAAGGATTATTATAAATATAACTAGAAAATTTTTTGAATGGGAATGTAGTAGAACCATCATGAAATAAATCCTTTCCAGAGCACGGTGGGCTATTTCCTTTGTATAATTATGGAGATAAACCAACCTCAGGCCGAATTAAATTGTCATCTTTAACATGTTCTCCTTTTGAATTTTTTGATATTTTTTAGGACGTAGCAATGCGACGTTTCCACATTTGTGACAGTAATCGCGATAGTTATTATGTAACACAAGCACCTCATGAACTTGGTGACGAAGAAGAGCCGTTAGAAGATCCCATTCCCTTGAGAAATGTAAAAAAGCCTGAAGGAAAATGTGCCCAGGTTTTTCTTCGCTATAGAGATGATCCTGATAAAACAATCGTTCGAATTCATGGAGGTTGGTTAAGAATACCATGCGAGTATACAGACATTACTGTGACTGCTCGTATGTGTGTACAGGAGTGTATACAGGTTATTAATTTTTTAATTATTAAAAACTAAAAAAATTTAGGAAGCGTTGGAAAACTTTGGGCTGGATGGATCTACTTGGAGCCGATATAATCTGCAGGCATTTAAAAATCTATATTCACATTTTATTTTTTTTGATTCAGGAGGTTTCTCTAGAGAAGGGTGTAGCTGAAAGAACGGTTAATCCACAAGAGGAAATGCTTCAATTGGTCCGAAATCTTAGGAAGGTATTATTATTGTTTTTATATCTAGCACACTTCCATCAATTTTAGGATTCTTTGAGGCGAAGTCATGTCGTTCGCTTCTATATCCAAGAGAAAGAGGATCCTCATGGTCAGCAAAAAAAATATTTTGATAATTTGTAAATTAATCTACTAAAATTTAAGATCATGCCATTTTTGTCTCCAATTTGCCCCCGTCACGTTCTCAACGTCAATATGAACGAATTTTGTTAAAATTACTTTCCATCAATGAACGTCCTTTCTGTGCAATTGGACCAATTTATTTTGAATATGGATCTTTGGTCATTACATTCAATACACCTAAGGCAGCATCTGCTGCTGTGTTGAGGTTACAGAACGCAATATATGAAGATAAAAAATTGGTGGTGCTTTGTTTACCAAATGTACAATCTCATATGATTCCTCTAGATGTTGAGCCTTTGGTATTTTTTGAATTGAAATTTAAAATTAAAATTTTTTCGTAGCTTGTATTGGTCAATGTCAAAAGTGGTGGTTGTCAGGGTACTGAACTTATTTCTGCCTTTAGACGTTTACTTAACCCATTCCAAGTATTTGATGTGCTCAAAGGAGGTCCTCTCGTTGGGTATATATTTTCTTTTTAAGCAGATGTTTAATTTTAATATTTTAGCCTCTATGTCTTTAGAAACATTCCCAAATATAGAATTTTAGCTGCAGGAGGTGACGGAACAGTTGGATGGGTTCTTCAATGTTTAGACATTGCCAAACAGGTTGATATTTTTCTTAAAGTTTTTATGTTTTTTCTTGTAAAGGATGCAGCTTGTTTCTCGCCTCCTTGTGCAGTATTGCCTCTAGGAACAGGAAATGACCTTGCACGAGTGTTGCGTTGGGGTGGAGGTTACACTGGTGAAGAGAGCCCCGTTGACATACTTCGTGACGTTATTGAAGCTGAGGAGGTTCGGCTAGATCGTTGGGCTGTCGTTTTCCACGAAGAAGAATTACCATCTACTGCTGCATTAACTCAAAAAGCTCAAACTGAAGATGCCCCAATGACAAATCCAGAAGATCAAACAAGCATGATCATCATGAATAATTATTTTGGTATTGGAATTGATGCTGATGTTTGTATGCGGTTCCACACAAAGAGAGATGCAAATCCGGAGAAGTTCTCGTCTAGGCTCTTCAACAAGACTCAATATGTGAAGATTGGACTACAAAAAGCTTTTGATAGAACTTGTAAAGATCTTTGGAAAAGGGTGGAATTAGAAGTGGATGGTCGTCCAATCGAATTACCTCCGTGTGAAGGAATTATTGTGCTCAATGTTCTCAGTTGGGGAAGTGGTGCTAATCCTTGGGGGACTGCAAAGGTTTGATTCAAATTTAAAGGACAGGTTTAAAAATAGTTTTTAGGAAGAAGCTGGATTTCAAAAGCCTACACATTACGATGGATTGCTTGAGGTTGTTTAGATAATATTTTTTGTTTATTAATTTTTCAAAAGGTTGTGGGAATAACAGACGTTTCTCGACTTGGCTTGATTCAGTCTAAATTGGCAGCAGGCACAAGAATAGCACAAGGAGGATCGGTATTTTGTTAAAATTTATTAAATTAATATTATTCTCTCTATATTAGATTAAAATTACAACAAAGGAAATGTGGTCAGTGCAAGTAGATGGTGAACCTCATATCCAACCTCCAGGGACAATAACCATGTATGAATTAGTATAAATTTTTTGAAAGTTTATTGTTTTTATTCATTCCAGTCTAAAATCTGCACTTAAAGCAAAAATGTTAAAGAAAGCTAAAAAGTCTCGTAAAAGTGTTGCTGCAACTGTACGTGCTGTCCAAAGCGAAGGCTCGCCTTCAAATGATTTTGAACATCCAAACTCTAGTCATTTGGAAGTTGAATTAAGATCTGGACATGGAAAGAGTACACCTGAAGAAATTAACTCATTTGATGATGATGAGGAGGCTGATTCTTTTCTTTAAGAACTCTTTTAGTATATTTATTTTTTGATTAGTTTATGGAGTGTTCCGGTTGCTAGTTTAGTGTTTTGAGGTTTAGGGATTTTATCTCTTTAGGTCATTACATGATTTCTTTTTATTTAACATTGAGACCATTAACCTAGGAGGAAGTCGGGCCCTGTACAGGAGTCTGATATTGGGCGATATATAGCCTCGACAATTTGAACATTTGTTGAAATGTTTAAAATACATAATGCCAAATAATAGGATTAAATGTCATTTTGTCTTTCTAGGGTCGATTGAGTCCCTTATCTTCCAAGACTGTTATAAAAAATGGAGTTAAGACTCAATCGTCCCCAAAATTTTTTCTAATATTTTTTCCCAGATTTTCTGAAATTTTTTGCTTTTATCCCCCTTAATTTTCACTTTTTTTTTCTTGGCTGCCGTCTCGTGTATTTAACAAAATGATTTTAACTTTGTATGTATTGATTTTTAATCTTCTTTAATGCCCAATTAAGGCAGCTATTTTAACCTTTTTCCCAGTGTGAATTTATAAATTTTTCTTTAAACTTTTTGTTTTGCTCCACCGATTTAATTTTTTCGTAAAATTTTTTGATAAAGTTGCAAATTTTTTAAACAAGTTGCCTAGAAATGTGTTTTTACTCGTGTTTTTTAAATTTTTCCTCACATTTTTTATCGCCACATTTTTCTCACCTGAATATATTAGATGATGAATCAGTCCACATTTTCTTTTTTTTTCATAATTAGAAAGTATCACCCTTTTTCTTTTGTAAATAGTGGCGAGGGAAAACTGCAATCGCGTGTTCTTTTGTACTCCCACATAGAAAAGGAAAATAATATAAACAATTAAACATTTTAGAATTATAATTTTAATTAACACTTTAGGAGTTTGAAAATAATTTTTTTAATTGTAGATTTTTTAAAAATAATTTTTTTCGCTAATTTACTTTCCTTTCCATGCTCGTCTTCGTTTTATTCATATTTCTTGAAAAGAGCGTGAGAGGATATTGGAAAAATAAAAATTCTTAACGTAACGGGATATTGGAAAAACGTCATCAAAACAACAAGCATGAATATATTTTATAATTTACACATTCTCCTCATGCTTATTCATGAAAAATATGTTCATAAAGAATAGTCGTAGTGGGAATTGACTTTTCCTTCCTTTTTTTATTTTTATGAGTTAAAAATAAACCAAACTTTAATATTTACGTTTAATTTATTTTATTATTTAGAATTGACTTTTAATTAATTTAAAAATGTCAGCAAAACCAATCAATGAATATTCTGGCAAAGAATTGCTTTATCGTGCATTGGAGCATGTCCAAACTTTGGCTAAACCAAAGGCAGTTAAATTAGACGAGGGAGACACATTTAATGATGCCATTCAAAACTGCGAGTGGCTGAAAACTGAAAAAGTAAACATTTTTTATTTTTCTCTTTTTTGTTTTTATTTTTAGAAAGGAGTAATCAAACCAGACCAACTTATAAAGCGCAGAGGAAAACACTCGCTTGTTGAAATTGGGACAACTGATGAGTTGAGCAAGTGGTTTAATGAGAAGAAAGGACAATACATTCAGGTGATTTTATTTATTGAATATTAATTCTTGAGACTCCGGGATTGTATCTGAAGTTTAGGACCTAGCTAGGTGGGAGTGAACGTGCGACTTTAGACATCGCCTGCCCTTAATTCACTATTTTAAAATTTAGATTGAAAAAACAAGAGGTCGACTTTCAAAATTTATCCTCGAACCGTTTGTTGAACATTCTCAAAAAGATGAACTTTATTTGGCCATATACAGTCAAATGAACAATGACGTTATTTTGTTCCTTGAAGAAGGTGGTGTTGATATTGGGGATGTTGACTCAAAGGTTTTGAATTTAGTAGAGTGAATATTTTTTTCTAATATTTTAGGCTCGCAGACTTCTTGTTCCTGTGAAAGAAAAGGATGAGGAAATGCAATTAAATGACAAGGAATTAAACGAACTTTTGGGTAAAAATTTGGATACAGCAAAGAAGAGGTTTATTTTAATTAGAAAAATGTTTCATTTTGTTTTCTAGTCTTGTTTTGCCATTTATCAAGGAGTTGTATGAAGTTTATAAGAAGAATCATTTCACATATTTGGAGATTAATCCTCTTGTTGTCTGTTCTGGAAAAATCTATATATTGGACTTGGCTGCAAAACTTGATGAGACTGCTTCATTCCTTTGTTCTGAATTGTGGAAGACTCGCGATGGCGAAGAAATTGATTTTCCTGCTCCGTTTGGTCGTGACCTTGCTAAAGAAGTTTGTCACAAATTCTTATGTTTATTGATTCTTTTTAACGAAAAATTTTCAGGAGAAGCATATTGCCGAATTGGATGCAAAAACGGGTGCCTCCCTTAAATTGACTATTCTCAACCGAAGTGGACGAATTTGGACTATGGTTGCTGGTGGTGGAGCTTCTGTTGTTTTCACGTTTGTATCTATTTTTGTTAAAATAATTTTTTAAACTTTAAAGTGACACAATTTGCGATTTAAATGGTGCATCAGAATTGGCAAATTATGGAGAATATTCAGGCGATCCAAGCGAGTCACAAACTTTTGAATATGCAAAAACCATTCTCTCCATAATGACTGAGGGAACTCCACACCCCAACGGGAAAGTTTTAATAATTGGTGGATCTATTGCAAATTTTACTAATGTTGCAGCAACTTTTAAGGTTTTCTTTAAGTTTTAAAGCTTATTCATTTGCTTTTATTTTAGGGAATTATAAATGCTATTGAGACATTCGCCGAAAAACTTCGAATGCATAAAGTCGTTATTTTTGTTCGTCGTGGTGGTCCAAATTACCAAGGAGGCCTTCGCAAATTTAAAGAAGCAGCTTCTCGTCTTGACATCCCAATACATGTTTTTGGACCAGAGACGCATATGACTAGCATTGTTGGTGCAGCTCTTGGGGTCAAGCCAATTCCAGAAGCTTCTCTTGCGCCTCACACAACGGGACAGTTTTTGTTGACTCCTGGACATGTAAATATGATTTTAAATTTATTTTCTATTTTTTGTTAAAAGGTTGAGAAAAGTGATTCTTCTACTTCACAAACTCAAACTACTGATTCCTCAATGAAAACTAAATCAAATGGATCTGTGAGAAATAGTGAAATGACAACAACTGCTGGTGTAACTGCTAATGAGATTTCTCAACAAATTCACAGTCTTTTTGAAAATAATACAAAAGCGATTATTTGGGGACAACAAACACGAGCCATTCAAGTTGTTTTTTCAATTTTTTTGTTATCAGTTAGAGTTTAGGGAATGATGGATTTCGATTATGTTTGTCGACGAGAAACTCCTTCTGTTGTTGCATCAACTTATCCTTTTACAGGGGATCATAAACAAAAATTTTATTTTGGTCAAAATGAATTGCTTGTCCCAGCTTACAAATCTATGGAAAAGGCTTTTCGTTCCCACCCAGATGCTTCTGTAATGATTACTTTTGCGTCTATGCGTTCTGTTTTTGACACAGTCGTGGAAGCTCTTCAATTCTCCGATCAAATTAAAGTTATTGCAATTATTGCTGAAGGAGTACCTGAAAACCAAACAAGAAAATTGATCAAGGTTTTTCTTAAATATTTTGACAAATTTATTTTTTATAACTTTAAAGATTGCACGTGAAAAAGGTGTTGTTATAATTGGACCTGCAACTGTCGGAGGTATTAAACCTGGATGTTTCAAAATTGGAAATACTGGTGGGATGATGGATAATATTTTGGCATCAAAATTGTATCGTCCTGGAAGTGTTGCTTATGTTTCTCGTTCTGGTGGAATGTCGAATGAAGTTTTATTGTATACTGATGATACATATTTTTATAAATTTAGTTAAACAATATTCTTGCACACAATACTGATGGTGTTTTTGAAGGAATAGCTATTGGTGGTGATCGTTATCCTGGATCAACATTTACTGACCATATTTTACGTTTCCAAGATGATCCCAGGTATGATTTCTGTGTTTTATTTAACTAAAATTCAAATTTAAAGAGTTAAAATGCTTGTATTACTTGGAGAACTTGGTGGAGAAGAAGAATACAAGATAGCCGAAGCGCTTGAATCAAAAAGAATTACCAAACCATTAATTGCCTGGTGTATTGGTACTTGTGCTGATCATATAGTTTCTGATGTTCAATTTGGACATGCTGGAGCATCCGCAAATGCAGCAAGAGAAACGGCAATGGCTAAAAATAAAGCTTTAAAATTGGCTGGAGCATATGTTCCTGACTCTTTTGATGATTTTGGAATTTTGATTGCCAAAGTTTATGCTCAACTGGTAGCAAATAGAACGATAGTTCCCCAACCCGAAGAGCCTCCTCCACCTGTACCAATGGACTATGCATGGGCTAAAGTTTGATTCTTTGAATTATTTTTTATTCTTTGTAATTCAGGAGCTTGGTCTAATCCGTAAACCTGCATCATTTATGACTTCAATATGTGATGAACGTGGTGAAGAACTTCTTTATGCTGGCGTTCCAATTAGTCGAGTACTCGAAAATAATGTTGGTGTTGGTGGAGTGCTTAGCCTTTTATGGTTCCAGGTTTTTTGAGTTTAAAAATGTATTCGTTCACAATTTCTTTTTGAAGAAACGACTTCCAGACTATGCAAATCGCTTTATTGAAATTTGTTTAATGCTGACTGCTGATCATGGTCCTGCTGTGAGCGGTGCACATAATACAATTGTTTGAATAAATTTTTATTTTTTGCAATTTGATTTTATATTTAAAGGTTTGTGCTCGTGCTGGAAAAGATTTGATTTCTTCATTAGTTTCTGGCCTTTTAACAATTGTAATTTTCTTTATTTTTTAAACTTTAATTGATTTTTTTAAGGGTGATCGCTTTGGAGGTGCTTTGGATGGAGCAGCAAAAATATTTACTCAAGCTTTGGATAAAGGTTTAAGCCCTATGCAATTTGTGAATGAACAAAAGAAGTTGGGCCGATTAATTCCAGGAATTGGACATCGAGTCAAATCTGTAAGAAAATTTGTTTCTAGCTAAAAATTTAAAAAAATTGCAGATAAATAATCCAGACAAACGTGTTGAAATATTAAAAAAGTTTGCTTTGGATAAAAAAGTTTTTAAACAAGAAACTCCATTATTTGATTATGCTTTAAAAGTCGAACAAATTACTACTTCGAAGGTTTTTTCTCAAAAAATATTTTTTTGAAAAAATTTTTTACTAAAGAAACCAAATTTAATTCTCAACGTTGATGGAGCAATTGGCACAATTTTTGTTGATATTTTGCGTAATTCTGGAATGTTTACCGCACAAGAAGCATTAGAAATGGTGGAAATTGGAGCTTTGAATGGACTTTTTGTTTTGGGACGAAGTCTTGGATTTATTGGTATAAAAACGAAATTTTTGGATATTCAAGAAAAAATTCTTTTCAGGGCATTATCTTGACCAACGCCGACTTAAACAACCTCTTTATCGCCATCCTTGGGATGATATAAGTTATATAATGCCAGAAGCTGATTATGGAGATACTCCTCCCAGCCTTTAAAAAGAGTTTAGGTTTTTTATTTATTTCTACGAGGATTTTTAGCCGTAAAAAAATTTTTTTAAATTAATTAAATACAAAATTTAAATTGCAAAAAATCCTCGTTTTTAATTTATATAGGTTATAGTACACCACTTCATGACACATAGAAAAAATACACATTTTATTTGACCGGTTTTATATTATTTTTAAACACTCCATTTCGCAAATTAAAAAATATGCAATAAGTAAAGATTGTTTTTTGATATTTTTAAGATTTTATTTAAAAATGAAAAATATATTTATGTTGTAGCTTCTGAAATATATTTTAAATCCGATTAAATATTTTCTATATAAAAAGGCTTTTTTGCCTATAAATTTTGACAATTCTTTTTTTTTCTGTTAAAATATTGATAATTAAATCTAAATTTTTTTTAATTTGTATTAGTTTAAAGGAATAAAACTTTATTTATTTATTTTTATTTTTAAAAGTGATGTAAATAATTTTGACATTATTTATTATCTTTGATTTTTAAAGCACAAAGTATCTTTTTGTAAACATTTTTAAATTTAAAAAATCATTGTTTGTAAATATCACATTCTCACAGGTTAAAAGGCCAAATTTTGGGGAATATACGAGAAAGAATGCGGTATTTGTATTTGCTCGATACAGACGGTTTTTAAGACGATCCTTAAGCATTTAACAATGTTAAAGTGTGGATAGTATGATTTTTAATATTAAATTTAGTATTTTCAATGATCACACAAAAGTGCATAATATTTTTTTCTTATTTTTCTAAGCTAATCAAATGGGAAACAATTGTCTTTTTCAGTTTAATTTTTACACACCAAGATCTTCGATTTGTTTAGTGGTTTAGCCCACCCTAGTACAAAATAAATGAGATAGTGTGTAGGCTGCAATATTGGCAAGAACAAAGCGAGAAAAATAGGGAAAGGGAGGAATAGGCTGACTGAGCTGATTTGTTTTTAGGGCCGATAGGGGGGGAAGGGGGCTAAGGACGGTTGGTGTGCAGGAAAAAAAGGTTGATATGATGGTGGTGGTGAAGAAAGGGCAGGAGTTGAGTCTGGGCAAAGAACAGCCCAATATTTTACTCCATTTTATTTTCAGTAAGCGAAAAAAGGGGGGGTGAGGAGGCGCGTTATCATTTGAGACAGGACAAATATTAGAAAATAAAAGAGGAAAATGAGAGAAGAAATGCGTAGATAAGTAGTTTTAGTTTTATGCATGTAGTAGAACGATTTCGAGAATATAAGGTGTAGTTAGGAATGATGTTCTTCTCGCCAAAAAAAATTTAAAAGTATTTTATTATATTTTAAGCTTTTTTGCTCCATTTAATTTTTTTAATACTCTTACTTTTCTAACCCCCATTACCTTTTTTTAATTTTATTTAATTTGATTAGAAGTTCATTTAGTTTTCTTTTTAATTATTTTTTTATCTTTCCAAATTTGTCTTCTTATTTTTTTTTTGCATATCGCGTTCTATGTTGGTTTGTAAGGTGTTAACACAAGATCAAAACTCAGAGATCGTTTTGTTTAGATTTTTCAAGTTTTTCAACCATGTGTATTTTCATTCTTTTCTTTCTAGTTAATTTTTACATCACAATTTAGGTTTTAATAAAATGGCTTCTGAATTACTTAATGCTCAAACATCTGATAAATTATTGCTCAACGAAAAAACACTTTCTGATACGGTTATCAACGATTCTGGACATGAATCTTCTGGATCACTTAGCGCCGAGCTTCCTTCAACACCTGAGGGAGAGCAAAAACAACACGATGCCTTCACAAACACTATTGAGGAAAAATTGAGTTCTAGCGATTCCAACGAAACCAAATTTTTTCGAATTAAAATTGCTGTTCCTGGAGGTGAAAATATTGAAGTTCAGGTATTTCAAATTGAAATTATTCGCTGTAAATCCATTTGATATTTCTCCAGATAAGCGACGGTGATATTATTCAAGAACTTTACCAAATGCTTTTGGAGAAGGATTCAACGTGCCATCGAACATGTTTTCGTCTTTATTACGAAGGAAATCCTTTGGATCAATTTACAGAAATTAAAAACATTCCAAATATTCAAGATCAAGTTGTTTTTACTGTTGTTGAAGGTATGGGTTTTTGTATTTGATTTTTTATGAATTAATCTGGTTTTTCAGAGCCTTACAACATAAGGGAAGCTCGAACTCATGTTCGTCATTTACGTGAGATTGTTCGTTCTCATGACATTTCTGATGCTGCTAATGGCGTTGAATTTGCTTCATTTACTTGTCTTTCACAAATTACCCAAGCTGTTGATGAAAACCGGAAATCAGCAAGACCTCCATTATCATCAAGTTCTGCAGAAATACGTTCAGAATCTGACTGTTTACCTCCTTATTGGCTTTTACCGGGATGTGGAGAAGTTCCTCTTAAACCTCTCATTCCGCTCAATAGCAATTACAAAAACAATGGAAACGAGTCTTTGACTCCAAACTCCTTTCAAGCAATCAGACAGATTTATTTTTCATCTTTCAATCCGCCGCCAGGGCCAAGAAAAATGAAGGTTTTTTATTTGAATTGTTAATTTAAAGTTTGATTTTCAGGGTGATGTTCTCTATTTGGTTGTTGATTGTGTGGAAGAACGACGTTTCCATATTACCTGTTGTACCCGTGGATTTTTTGTTAATTCATCTGTTGGTGATGTGTTCAAACCAGAAAAGTCTTCTGTTTATGGCAATCGAATTTATCACAGCCTTTTTGATTTACTTTCTGATCTCAG